CGCTTTCGACTACACTGCCGGATCTGGAGCCCACCACCACCTCAAGCGAGTCTCTTTCAACAACTTTGCCGGATCTGGAACCCACTTCGACTTCGAGCGACTCGCTGTCAACCACATCGCCGGACCCCGAGCCCATCACCACCTCGACTACTGCAACAGCAGACCCAACCGGAACCGGAGCCGAAACAACGGGAAGTATTGATCCAACACTAACAACTACAGGTAGTCTTACGAGCACAACCAGTGCCGACGATTTCCCAACTTTAACCACGTCGGTATCCCCAACGGTGACTACGATGTCCCCGACTGAAGTCATCACCAGCACCTCGACGTTCAGCTCTACTATAGGCACGGAATCTACTTTCCCAACCCTCAGCTCGCCAAGTACCACGACGCCCACCACGATGATTACAAGCACATTGTCGATCACGACCATCAGCCCGTCAGTGACATTGTCTCCCACAACGACACTGCCCACGACAACGCTTACCACAACCACAACCACAATCACCTCGCCGTCATCGACCGCTGTTCCACAAGACTGTGTGCCTGGGACATTTACCTGCAATTCGCCGACCACCTTCTCACAATGTGTGAGCACTTCTTCCTCTTCGACGAACTATATTTATATGGGATCTGTCGCTGGTGGAATGCAGTGTGTGGATGGGCAGATCATCCGACAGAATGATGGTCCTTGTACACCATCAGGAAGCATCTTCTGCAACGGCCCTCAAGCATTCTATATGTGTGATCAAGGTGGGTTGATCAACATGGGACCCGTCGCTCCCGGCACGGAATGCCGAAACGGCGAGATTGGCTTTCCTCTATGATAGCTTATTTCAAATATGTTGGAGAGGCGTCTTGCATGTTTCGGAGTTCAGGCTGAGAGCATAAGGTCCCGGAATGGTACCAGGCCAAGGCGTTTGGCGAAACAGAATACCCAAAAGGCATAACTGAACTTGATAATACGACATACGACAACGACGAATGGCCATTGGCCAAGAACGCCATGGTACGAATCAACTTGGTGAGGGATAAGTATACAACGGAGTTCGCCATTGATGGGACTTAATTATAGAAGGAATGGAGGAGGGCTATAGTGGAAGGGAACATGAAATTTGTTTCTAGTGGGGACTTCACCTAGCAGTTAATACCAATAAGCTTTCATGTTTATCTCATTTTACTCGAATATATAATCAGATTTGAAGCACTTGTTTATGTCTGTTGATTGTTACAAACGATGATCCTGGGCGGATCAATATCAAAAGGTAGACAGGTTTCTGAGCTTTTGATATATCACAGAGACGAGTATGCCATCCATATACGCACATGCATATTCGTATAGTCCGTACTCACTCATCACCATATAAGACTACAAATAGCGACGTCAATCGGTACGCGCTCGATTTGTACTAGTGGCTGGGCACATGCATAATAAGCTCGGTTGCCGAGGAACGCGTCGACGCGTTAAGTGGTTGGGGGAAGTTTGCCGTTTGCCGCCTGGACTGCTTCAAGACCTGCAGGCTCCATGCTGCAAAAGACGCAGCCACCGCACTGTGCCTAAAGATCCTCGACGCCCTCTTCAACTCATCCTAGGCAGTTCTGCCTTGCAAATATGCCTGGTCTCTGACGTTCTCTAGCCATATTCCTCTGCGAGCAATCATCTATCTGTAATGGCTATCACCAAGTCCAGAGCTCCCGAATATCCAAGGCCAGTGCCGCCAGTCTCAGCCGAAGAATATCCCATCTGCCCTGACACAATCGTTTATCACGAGGCCTCACATGAGCTTGACAATGGTGTGGAAGCAAGAGCTGCAAAGAGGAGGAGAATTGAACGATATGCTATCTCATATCTGAGAGGAGAGCCGCTTTTCATTCTCACTGCCCAGCTGAGAGGCCCATTTACCGGCGACTGGCAGAGCCCATGGAGCACCCGCGGAAATGCAGATGTGGTCGTCGATCCCCCCAAACCAGAGATTCCTGAGACGAGCAAGATTGTTCGACAACGACCCTCCTCGTTACCACATACCCCACTGGAGAATGTTCAATTCAAGGACAAAGAAGAGGTTCACTCTAGTGATCACAAGGTGGAGCGTTGGTTGAAGACCAACAAGGCCTATGGACAATTTAGTAATGGTCATTCTCAGTCATCTCCCACGCCGCAAACTGGGCCGGTTCAGCGGCGTACAAAGAAATGGGAGTCTCCAATGATTGACATTGAGTTCCCACCGGTACCAGACGAGGTAGTCAACCTGGCCCAGTCGCTTCCACCACTACCCGCGGACCTCCCTGTCTTGGACCAAATCCATAATGTGTTGGAAGATGACCCCAAGGTTATTCAGACTGCAGAGGCCCAACCAGATCAAGAGCCCGTTCAGCGACCGCAGACACGGGCTAGCCTTATGACAGATGACGTCCGTCCTGAGTTTGCCATACTTGCATCCAAGCGCAGATCTCTACATACGATACCTGCCTCAAGTCATTTACCAGCCTTTGAATTCCGTCGCGTGACAGCTAGAGAGCAGGAGAATGGTGAAGCGCCGGCAGATGCAGATGCAGATGCAGTCAACACACTTCCTGAGCCTACTGTTGAGGATGTACCTGAATATACCAACATTGTACCCACAGACACCACCAAGCCTGGAGAAGAATTGGAGGAAAGGCAGAATCCACCTTTGATCAACACCGAACAGTCACTGTCAAAGGCATCATCTTGCAACGAGACGGAAGATCAACTACCCTCCGCTCAAGTTATTGCCCCACTACCACAACAATCTACTATATCAAATCTATCGAGTCATGGGGACATGCTGTCGGAGTTGCACCTTTCCAATGCACCTGTGGATGAGGTCTTGGCTGGTGAATATCGTGGTGCAGAACCTGCGAAAGCTCCAGGAGACACGAGAGCAAGCAATATGACTCCCGCTCTGAAAGCTGACGAGCATCCACGTACTGTCATTGATGCAGCGAAAGAGGTCCCGGTGAAAGACTCGGATGTGACACCCAAGGCAGACATTGCCAGACAGTTCAATACGCAGCAGATGGTCAACAGCATCACCCCCTTTGCGATGAGCACGGTCAAGAAGACCTCGTATGGTGCAGGTTCAAAGTCTTCACCTGCAAAAGCGACAAAATCTCGCACCAGTCGCAACAAGAAAAGAGCATCGTTTGCCCTAGAAGAGACAGTATCAGCGTCATCGTCACACGCATCGATCAGGATGACTATGAAGGTCGCAAAGCCGGCTAAGAGCCTCAATGCGAATGAGAAGATCCTTGAGGACAATGTAGTACAAGAAATATCACAGGAGGGCGAAGTCGACATATCTTTCTCAGGCACCCGAGTCATCAGGGATAAAGGTGGGAAAGAGCCGTCGTCGCGGGGAATCCTCAAGGCGTCAATGTCGGGATCGCTAAACGATATCAAGTCGTCCAAACAGACGGCATCGTCTTCCGCAAAACAAGATGCACAGAGAGTGAATCATTTCAACTTGGGGGAAGATGAAATGGAACTGAACGATGATGCCTTTGATGTTGCTGCCGCGATTGATGATTTGGGTAGTTTCCTTGGAACATGGGATGCGGAGATGGAAGCGGCAGGTTTGCGTTAGACATAGCATGCGAATGACATCTGATTTTTTGTTGAGCGTCTGGGAGATGGGCATTTGTACTTTATGGTTGTTTCAGAGATCGATTGTTGAGTCAAGTGATACACAACTTTCAGTCTGGAAGACCTGTATGAGAAATGTGGACGCAATCCAGACAATGAAATTGAGCAGCGCCGTATTCCTATACTAATTGAAGTCTGTTCCACATAAGTATATACCTTGACAAACTAAGAATGGCTTGAATAGATGAGAGATGAAGTCGATTGACGAGGCTGAAGTGACACGAGGCTGAAGTGATACGAGGCTAAAGTGATAAGCGGGAATAACATTTATCCGCTCCGGGGTATCTCGGCTCAGACGTTCTTCCGGACCAACTTGGGATCTTCCAAGGTTGTCATCTCGTGTCCTGGAATCCAACCCTTCCAGTGTCTTGTCGTCAAGGCTTCACAACCATACCACCAGACGATATTCGACGGTGTCATCCGCTGTCGACTCATCGAAGGCGGCTCATCCTTTGGAGCTATCAGCCGCTCCCCCGTCTCCCATATCGCTTGAGAAAGTTCACCATCACATTATATCCGTCCGATGACTTGAGTGTCACTCGCTTTCCCTCCGCTGCGGGGAGGAGACCCAGATATGGTCTCGGTCAACTCGACTGTTCTACAGGCAACATCTCAATATACCGGCAGTTCTCTATCTTCCCTGACAAATTCGACGGCCTGGAAGGCTGCTGTCGGCAACCTTTCTACCTCCCTCCTCCCTTCCCCGCAACAGTTGTACAGTCTTCCGTTGCGGCTCGTATCACGCCTCGATCGCTTCGTCGTCCACCTCTTGAATCATTATATACTTGGCGCATTCCTGTCTGTGGGAGGTGCGGGTGCACCTGAAGCTGTTGGAGCCAACGCAATGGCAGAAGCCGCAGCACAGCCTGGTGTTATACCTGCGCTGGTAGACCCGGCGGCCGAAAGTTGGGCCGCCTTCTTTGCCGAAGCCTTCCAAGCCAGCACATTCAAGAGCTACTGGGGAATGTTACACTATTTGACTTCAAGATGGTCCTTCACATGTTTTGCATTGGTATGTCACTCACACACTCTTCGAATATTGAACATGACGCTCATGCTTTCTAGGCTCTGATTCTTAATCGGGTCAACGTTTATGGCGCGGCGAGACATCGATTATACCTCAACTGGACCAGGAGACTTGCACTACGTATAGTGCCTATTTTACTCCTGACAAGTCAGATCCATTCTCTTCTCCAGGCTATGCGATGTCAGACCTCTCCGGACTTCTCACTCTATCGACATGGCGATCTCAATAAATATAGCCTCCTCGACTGGTCTACCGATGGAGGTTCTTTGCATACACTTTCATCCACCATATTGTTCCGCTCTACTGATGCTGATGCCTGTGCAGCTGTTGGTATGAGTAGGCCGAGCCCAAAAGTTCGTGCTCCTCGTGGCTCGTTCTCTTTGCTCTGGCCCTCATTCCTCAAACTCGGTCTCTCACATGTCACTGAAAGTCTTTCTTGCTCTTTACAGCAGATTCCCACCATGACAGAGGTTGGCATGTCTGTATTTGAGCATTCACTTGCCTTCGCAGAGGCTGAGACCATGATATCTCACACTCTCGGTCTTGGACTATTTGGAAGCGGGAAACCTACCAGCGACAACAAAACTTCGACGAGTGGGAACTCTGCGAACTCTGAAAGTGCCGGTACCATTCCAGCTTCTGGCACCATCCTGGCTCTTGCTGATGCAACTGCCTCACTCACCTCACCTCACATATTAGACAGAATCAACGTCCCAGTCGAAGTACTCTTGGTGACGTTATTGTCATGCTCCAATGCACTTTCATCACATATAATAGCTGTCTTGGGCAAACAACGTCAATGGCGACTAATTAATACAGGAATATGGGGTATTGCCTTCATGGCGTCCTTCGTTTGGGGTTTCATGACAACCAGCATGATGGTACGCAGCGGCGAGGATGGCGATGAACGACCTGTTAGAAGCCTCTTACATTTCCCAACCGTCGCCATCGTTGGCTTCCTCCCCCATATCTGCATCCTTCTAGGGATTTTTGTCTGCTTGGGTATCTATTTGGTTGCCTTGACATTTACCGCTGCTTCTTTGGGGACGAATCCACACATACCTCAGCCTTCAAGCCTCAGAGAACGCTTCCGCATTGCTCATCACAACCTGCAGGCAGCGGTCCAAACACGAGGGATTAACATTCGCTGGAACGAAGACTTCTATACCGCCCTGCTTCGAATAGGCTTCGCGGCTCTTACGGCGGCCTCAGAGGCAGTCTTCTTAAATGAAGGAAGATCTGTTGAAGTACGGCAGTTCACATGGTTGGAAGAAGATAGACTCGATGAGTTTGAAGCAAGTCACGACCAGCATGGGGCATTCTCCAAAAATCAACAATTCCAAATCCTGGAAGAATATGGCTTGCCACCAGCCAGCCCTGGCGGAACCGATAAAGGCGGCGTGTGGGAGTCGGGGTTTGCCAAAGAGCGCAAGTTTCAGAAGAAGGAAGGTGAAATGTCCAGCAAGGATTCCTTTGTCTACCCGACACCCCGTACTGGTGGTGTTGGTGCTGTACAGCGAACTACCCGCTTTTATCTCCTGATGATCTATTCACGTGGGATACTGTTTCTGCTGGCGCAATATGTAAGCTTTGGACTAGGCGTTGCACTGGACAATATGGGAATCACTTCACGCCCCAGATGGCTGAGAAAGCTCGTGGGTCGATCGCTGAAAAAGGCAAGACAGGAGAAAGAGTCTTTAAACCACGGACACGATCTCGACCTTTGCTTTCTGACCGAAGATGGTATCCTACTCACAGCCGAGCATCAGCATGTCGATATCGAGCCAGGGATGAGACGGCGTCTCCGGCATTGGCTAGCACCTGAATCCAGCGAGAAGATAGATGAGCTTCTTGACGCTGAGATGTACGAATGGTGGAAGTCTGGCGGTTGGTTTGGCACCAAGGATGAAAGTGGTGACTACGAACCTCCCGAAAGAGATGAATTTGATGACACAACCAGTGTAATTTCCATGGCCACCACAACAAACGATAGTATCGATAGCTCCGGTGAGGGCGAGGGCGACAACGAACATGCGTGGGAGTCCGAACCAGAAGGCCAACGAACTCCCACCCAATCAGCTTTTGGTCCAACCTGGACCTTTGATGGCATCGCCAACCGACAATCCACTCCAGATATAGTCGACTCCCCGCTTGATGCTGCAACTCTAGCCAGACTCCTAAACCCACCAGACAAACAAACGCGCGAAGAAGCCCGAATCCTCGCCTCCCATCTCTCCGCGTCTCAAACCTCAGGAATCATGACCCGATCACGCTATCGCAGAGAAATCGACAGCGAAAGAGCCCGCGTCCTCCTCGCCGGCCGCCTCCCCTACCCTTCCCGCCCACCAAACCAAACCCTCAACCCGAACCACCAATCCTCTCATTACGACATATCATCCATCCTCAACACACCTTCCCCCTCCCCTTCCTCCTCCAGCAACATTAACAACCAACCCAACATTCCCCGCCCGCTCACCACAATGGAAGAATCCGAAGTTCTCGAATCTCTAATCCTCAGCCGTCGCAAGAAACACGCCCCTGCTCCTCGTGCTTTAGGTCCAGAGACGATTGAAGACGAGGCGAATCGACAGGCCGGACCGCCTTGCGTCGTTTGTCAAAGTGCCGCAAGAACCATTATTGCTTGGCCATGTCGATGTCTTTGCGTGTGTGAAGATTGTCGCATTAGTCTGGCATTGAATAATTTCGGGAATTGTGTCACGTGTCGCAGGTCCGTACATGGGTTTGTGAGGTTGTATGTTCCGTAAAGGAGAGAGAAGGAGAGAGAGTGAGAGAGAGAGATGATGATGATGATGGGGGAGGGGGAAGAGGTTTATGATTTTATGGTGCATGCAGGTTTGGACGTATGGAGGTATGGAGAGATACGTGCCTGTATGCGTGTGCATGCGTGTCTCTGGTCTTTTAGCATTTTGCGTTATCTGTATAAGGATCGGGTGGTGTCTTGTATGCTATGCTACCTTTGCTATGCTACGCGAGAGGAGGTGAGGCAAGACATGGCGTCGCCTTCTCTCGATGTATAGATGAAATAACATTTCATCTTCTTTCATCTTGTGTGTTGGGGGTATCATCATGATTAACTACTACAGTGGTTGCTGTGACTTTTTCTTGCTACTGCCCACCACACTTCTTTCTGTTACTGCTTTGCTCTTATTGCAACAAAGTCTGAAAACCCTTCTCTTCTCCCCCTTTTTCTTGACACATCTATCACCCAGCGGTCATGGCCGTCGTCGTCGTCATCATCATCATCATCACCTCTATATCTCGTGCAAGCACATCGGTGAAACACAACCCATTCTTGCAAGGACCACGCCAGTCAGTCAGTCAGTCAGTCAGTCAATCAGTCCCCTAACCCTAGCAGTAACCAGTGCCCCCTGACAATGGTCCCGTGCGAGCCTCTCGGACCTCCGCTACTGGCCTACACATTGGATCTCAATCTCCCCACTCAATCAACATACCGTCCCCGTCTCTCATGGTCGTAGGATCTGGTCTTTCGTCATCACTGCCATTATCCTCCTTTTTCTTCTTCTCCTTTTCCTTGCGCACCACAATCTTAGGCGGCTCTTTGTCACGCTGCACTCGGCTGAGTAGACTTGGAATATTCTGCCGGCGCGACAGACCTACCCGGTAGAGGACCTTGGGTCCGCGGCCGCTAGTGGCCGTCGGTGGGTTGATCGGAGAGTGCTGTGTCGGTCCCTTGGCAGTCGTCTTCACTGGTGTCACTTGTGCAGTAGGCGAGCTGGGACTGGGTTTGGTGGGTGACAAATTGATATTGTTAATCGATCTGCTGCCAGGGTCGTGCTGCTGCTCGGGTTCGACAGATGACAGTGGTGATACTGTCGGAGCCTTGACGTCCGAGGGCCTGCGTGACGACGTCGGCGGCATGTTGCTGGAGATGTCACGCAGAGCGGGCCGTTTCGCCGTGGTCACAGCGTCGGAATCCTCGCGATTGTCTCTTTGTTCTGGATCTTGTTCCTCGTCTTCGACAACAACTTCATCGGATAAGGGCGCTTTCTTCGGTTCCGCTGGTTCTGGTTGAGCTTTCCTTGGTTTGCGACCACGCTTCTTAGGCGCGGCTTTGAGTGCGATTGCTGCAAGGTCGGGAACAATGGAGTCTTCAGCTGCTGCCGCGGGTAGGAGGATGGAAAATTTTGCAACGTCTGAAGAAGTGTGCTCCTTTTTCTGGTTTCCCTTCAGCTGGTCAGTTTTTCTCTCTTCCTCAATTTCATCTTTTTTGAGAATCTTGAGATCAGGTGGCAAGTCCAGTTTCACTGGCGCAGGCTTGGTATCCATCCAGACGACATCTTCTTCTCCTTCGCTCAGCATTGGCTCTGCTTTCTTCAGGAGTGCAGCAGCAGATGTTTTGGCTCGTTTGACTTTATTCTTGCGCCCCTTTTTGGCAGAGGGCTTTGCTGGAGTGGGCTCTGGGACTGCGTCGCCATCTAGGTCGAGCTTTCCCTCTTGAGCATCGTCTTGAACGTCGATCTTTCTGGTAGACATCTGATTTAGATTGTTCATTTCCAGGCAATCCTGCTCCTCTGTTTCTTCTTGGGTCTTCTTAGCCCGTGATCGGGTTGGACGTGGCTTGTAACTTTCTTTAGGCAGACCGATGACGTGCTCGTCACTGAGGTGTAGTTCACTGGTAGGTTGTTTGGTTGGAGAAGACTGTGAATTCATTTGCTCTGCGACTCGTTTCGATTGCCGTTTGGGTTGCTTGCCCGTTGAGGATGCATGGGAGGCTGCAGACACAGATTCCACTGTGCCCTGTCTTCTACTTCGTATCAACTCTAAGTCGGGGAGTTCCAACCCATCGACTTCGTCATCTAAATGCAGAGGTGCAGTGACTTTAGATGATAGTCGTGAGCCTTTGGGTTTGCGGCCGCGTTTTTTAGGTTGCTGGTTGTCGTCGTTAGCTATGATCGGCTCTGGGAGTGATATCTCATTTGCCGTTGTTGGGGTATCCGATGTCTCGTTCTCCGTATTGAGCAGAGCCTCGTCACCTTTCACCACTTCACGAGGATCGACGGTTATCTGCTGGTCCTGAGAAGAATGAAATATCGGTGGTGCACCATCCTTGGGGCTCTCCAGTGCACTGTCTTCACCTTGCGCATTGCAGGCAGGGTCAAAGACTTGGTTGCTTTGATGTAGACCTTCCGCGTGGTTCGGATCCTCATCGAGCGAGACTTGACTCACGGAGCCAAAGGGGTTCGTATTGATGTCGAGTCCCGACACAAGGCCTCGATAGTCGAGGTTGATTGACTGGTATCCTCCCATGGAAGCCATACTAGTCATATTCTGCAATGAATTGGGTCTTTGCATTGATATGCCGGCAGGGTTCAGGGCATATAAGCTGTCCTGGAACGGCCCAATCTCTAGCGAACCGTTGATGCCACGTTCAGAGCTGTTGGAAGACTGATTTGCAGAAGTAGGCTTTCTTGCTTCAGGCACTCTAGATGACATGATTTGGTTTCTTTCGTCTTCGAAGTCCATGCTGGGTTGATGGCCATGGGTTTTGGTTCTTTTGTTCCTTGCGGACTTTGCGAGTGCACTGTCTGTGGTGGCCGAGCTCACAACGAATGTGCTGCGTGCTCTCTTTACGGACTTTGATCTTGGTGAATTTAGCATCATGTCGATTGAGTTTCCGGGCCAGGTGGGCACAGAGTTCTGATTTGAACTGGCATTCAGCACATCATGAGCGATGTCAATTCCATTGATGATTTTTTCCGTGCTACTAGTTGCATATTTGGCATTCTCGCCACATGGAGACGGCAGTGACGATAGATGTTGAGTTGTGTCCAGAAATTGGTCAAAGTCAATTGCTGAAGAGGCTGGCGCGACTGAGGGAGGTTGAACGTCAAGCATTGAATTCACATCTGATTTCTGAGGCGAGTTGAATTCTGGCTCATCGTCTGAGTCGGCGATCTCGGACGGCATTTTCAAGTCAATCGGACGATCGCTTCCAGAAAACAAATGTTTGCTCTGTGGCGAGGTGAGGACGGATCATCATGCCTGCCTAATTATGTGGACGCGTGCACATGAACGCGTTGATTGGATTAGCACGTGACTAGAGAGTCGCGATATCACGTGATTGACTTGTGGGTAGGAAGGCACGACGACAATGTCCTTCCTCCATGGCCACGGAGGCAAAGCAATACCACAGAAGGTGGCGATGTATTTCTACGACTTTGCCTTGCTGTACGAAACTGGTTTGAAAAGGCATACGAGATCGTATCTGTCTACGTCGACAAACACCACACTCCGTGACATGATAGGTACGGTGTGTTTTGCTAACAAAATGGGGAATACATAATCGCTACGAGATAGTGCATAAAGCATCTTCCGACGGCGCTGACAGTGGAGCTCTGTCTCCAGCAGCTACTACAACGACAAACTGAGGGCCTTGGTTGCATTCCTAGTCATACCAAAATTGACGGGGCGGCGTTCCGGACCGAAAACAGCGGGTATGCAGCCATGACTTCTCAGGGATAGCATTGGGCACTATCTGTCCTAGAGGCCCCGTTCGCCTGTTGGGATTGTAGGTGAGATATGCAGAGTGAGAAACGTGGGAAAAGTACGATAGAAGATTGGTGGGAAATGTGTAGCATGGGAGCGAGGAAGGAGCAAACGCCGGTGCTCGGCTGTTGGCTTTGGGCATGCAGGAGGACAAGGAAGAAACGAAAAGAGGAAATGAGGAAATGAGAGTCGTTGAGACCAAAACTGAGGACAGATGAAGTAATGACAATGGGACGGAGAAGGCATCTCATCACATGTGCAGTGACGTGTCGTAAGAAGAGTGATTGATGAGGCTTGTAGGGTTGATATTCTGAATAACACGGTACTTGGAAAGGAAATTGGGTGTCATGCTTCGTATTGTATCTCTTCAGTCCCCTCAGGATACAATCCATCATAGGCAATAATCGCAACCCCCGAAGCCTTGCATAGGCGGCAATTGACGAGTGAATAACGATGAGCCAGGCACCGTAGCACAGGTGCTGGTAGCACACCAGAGTACCTAACTGCCCGAGGCTTAGTCGGTACCTAAGATAGCCGACTCTCAGTAAGAGACAAGCCCGTGTTGCGCCCGCAGCACGCAAAGCTCTGGGAGGCCTTCTGCCACTTAGAGGATCATGATGTCTAAGGATAATACTTCATGATAATGACAGGCCCTATGAAGGGGGTAGACAGAGCGTGAATGGGTAGGTAATTGGCTGTAGGTGGCACTATTAGCACCCCGTTGGCTCTCTCGAGGCTCACCATCAAATCCCGGCTGCCCTGGCATAGTGAATGACGCCCTGCACGTCATTTCTTCATCATGACCATTGAGTCTTCGTATCACACACAATTCAATTTGTGGTAGAATCTTATCTCTCGAATTCCATCCTGCACATCCTACCACAGCATCAATTGACAGCTGAATAAAAACGGCAGGTCACTAACAAGCATTGACCATTTTATTGACCACGGCTCCACGAGGCTCCTAACGGAGAAGGCCAAGTTCGAACCACAACAAGAAAAGAATTCTCCGGGTGCCCAGGATCTTCCCTCCGGATCCCAAGATCCCCACCACGTCACCCTCCCAGTCATAATACAGTGGAAGAGTGGCAGAGTGGCAGAGTGGCAGTCTTCCTCACCAGTCACGGACCAGAGGTTACCCACGACACCCGTCCACAGCCACCCAACGGTCCCCTCATCCTAACCTACAATTCAATTCATCATCTCTCAACCAGCACAACCAGGTACACCTACTCAGCCTCTCACTCCTCCACGTGCTCGCTTCAATCGCCGTCCGCACCCAGCAAGACCACCAGACCAGACCAGACTGAGTCGTGATACCACACATCATTCCCTGCGGCTTGCCCTGGCCAGGTTCTGTCACCTCTCCCGGTTGTTGTCCTCACCGCACCACTCACTCTACAATCCACGCAATCCAAACCCAGACCCAGGCGCAGAAGCAGACGCAGCACCTTGACCGCTCCTCACCTCGACCCTGCTTCTCACACCACATCCCTCCCTCCAGCCTTATCTGGCGACGACTCGCGACTATCTCGCCCCTGTCACGACAGCCTTCCATCCTTCCAACAGCCCTTCCCAGCGAATCATCGTTCCACGCACAATTACCCCCTGTTGTCACCGACTTGCCCAATGTCCTCCCCATGTCCAATAGCTCTCCTGCCGGAAGGACGTCCGCGCCTGCCAACACGGTAAATGGACACTCAAAAGCCCTCCGCCAAAATGCCGGCGCAGACACTACACCCGGCACCGGGCACTCGCCCTCCTCCTCTTCCTCCTCCGCCCCATCCTTCAGTGCAAAGCCAATTGATATCTCGCGCACCCAAAAAGGTTCCAGTTCATACACTTCTAGCGGAAGAAGCCCTCGACATAGACCTCACCGTGCTGCCACTTATTTGGACCCCGTCCCTCACCTGTCGGAGCGAGACAGCATCTTCGCTGATCACTACCTTCCGGCCCACAATGACACTTCCTCACCGAGGGAAGGTATAAACACCCCGCCTTCCTCTAACCTCAGTCGGAAGGCACCTCCTGCCATGTCCACCATCATCTCTCACCCTCTCCCTCCTCCAGAAACCTCCAAGTCTCTCATAACCGACCTACCCAACACCTTTGAATGGTCGCCGCGGGCCCCGACCACTGCAGTTGAGCAAGAGTCTGAAATCCCTCCCTTTCAGTCGCCCGCCCGCCCTGTCCAAGGTCTCCGAAGGATTGCATCAGATATTCAACCATGGTCTCCAATGCTCCATGTCTCTCGTGGAAAAATGCCAACAAAGGAAGACTCCCATCCCGACCTATCCTTGGATAGGCATCTTCATCAATCACGCTTTTCGAGAGACCCAAAGCCTCATGCTGGCAACGATGTCGCTCAACCACCACCACACGGAGACGCTTCAACATCATTGCGAGCCATTTTGTCGGAAGGTCCCCGGGTTGAACGTAGTCTAAGCCGTGGTCGAGCTCACGTCGAGAAAAGCATCGAAGCTACGGTCAAAAACCCAGAGACCGGTGGAAATGCTCGTAGCAGGAAAGCTAGCCACATGATGGGAATATTCGATCCACGCTCAGACTCAAAGTCACCAACACCATTTTCTAGCGATCGTCTCCTTCAGTTCGGACCGAGTAAGGATCAGTCACATTCATCTTCTCGTCCCACAAGTCCTACCGTCAAGGACACGCTCTTCGGTCGGTCCACCCGTAGGGGTTCGAAAGACGTGGGAGACGACACGCCAAACATAGCTAGAGAAGCCGACCAACCGCCGGCACCCTTGGACTCCGATACAGCCTCGTCGAAAAAGCCGAGTCACGATCCTTACTACCGTCAACATGATATTGCTCAAAGACCCATAGTACCTCAGAAATTGCTTGAAGAAATCCGCGGCATCAATAGAGCAAAGGTGCCATCTGCCGGCAGCGAGATAAAGGAATCGACCTCCCGCGATCGCTCAGGTACTCGCGAAGATGAAGAGGAGCACATTTCAGCGGCAGTGTATTATCCACATCCTGGCCCGTCTCCGGAAGAGATTGAACAGTTCACATCCCCTGGCGAAACTGATTCTACGGCGGCCAGAAAGGCTCACACAGACCTACAGTCTGTCATCTCTGGCGAAAGAAGAACATCGGAAGCACCTCGCATCGCTGAACACATTGATATTTCTGTTGTCTCCAAAAACGACAAGAAAATATTCCATGGTAACTATGAACCCGTGGACCAGATACGCTCCGACATGGTTCAAGTCTCGGGAGAGGAGGAAGCTTCCACAGCCATATCCAGTGCCTCCGAGTCCGAGTTGGAATCTGGTGATGAATCTGCCCAACAGAGTCAGACGGACGATGATATGTCAACCACTCCAACCCAAGCCACCGTACCAAGGAGAAAGCCAAGCGAGGTTCCAATCTCCAAAACTAAAGCCAAGGTCATCTTAGAGCCGTACAAACATCAAGTGGGTGGCCATTCGACCATTTTCCGCTTTTCCAAAAGAGCCGTCTGCAAGCAATTGAACAACCGAGAAAACGAATTCTATGAACACATCGAACAGCGCCATCCAGACATGTTGAAGTTCCTGCCAAGATACCTCGGAGTGCTCAACGTCACCTTTTCTAAAGTGCCCAAGCAGGGTCTTGGCCCTGATGCCAATTCTACAAAGAGTTCCGGGAACAGCAGTGGTCTCGATCAAGCGACAACTGTTTCCCCGACAGTCGACCAGCCTACCAGGTCCCAGATCGCTGCCGCACAACAAACTCGAATAGTGAGCCATTCACAACAAATCGGCAGCATTCCCCAGGTGATTCTCGATCAGAACAAGCATATCATACCCTCAGATTATTTTGTATTGCCTGAGAGACCTAGGAGTGCCGATCCTAGTCATGGCAGAAGCATAAGCAAAGACTTTGACCTGACACCTGGCAGATTTGGCGAGAAGCGAGGGTTGGCAGGATCTCCACTGCGGCCAGCGCTCCCAGAGCATGCAAATAGTTGGGGCAATACCTCGGTCAATGAAGGGCTAAAGGAGAAGATCCTACGTGAGGTCTTTGGGCCGCCGCCTGTTCAGTACTATCGCCGGCATGGGCCGTCACCTGGAACGGTGCCGAGGCTGAAGACTTCAACTTCCTACGGCCACCAATCTCGGCGAAGAAGCAATCTATCCGTACACACGGTCCCATCGAATGACGGGACAGCCCTCAAGTCGGAACCAAGGAACACGCCAAGGCTTGTGCGGAAGGAGAATTCCACCAAGCTAGACCTGTCGGAAGTACAGGTACATGTAGAAGAAAACTCGAGCGGTCCGTATTCATCCTCAGCATCCAACGCAAGCGAGATGAAAACCCTGGAAAAAGTCCGCACCACCGGGAGTGATAGGTCTTCCAATGTCGACAGTAAGCCACTTATGAAGAGGCGCCATTCTGGTATGGGTCTGCGGCGTCGAAGAGGTTCCCTTAGTGAGACCCAGGAACCCAATCTTGAATACTTTGAAGATGAAGCCTACGCCACAGATGGTCGAGCCGATGGAGGTGCTGACGTCTTCACGATGGATCAAGAAGACCTTAAAGCGCAAGACGAGAAGGGGCTCCGGCAGCAAGAAGACCGCAAATTCAATGGCGTCTCCCCTATCCCCGAGAACAATGATCAAGAGGCTCTTGAAAGTCCCTTGATTGATGTACCGCTGAATCCTAAGGAAGCACAGTCTCCAAACTCCGGAGATCGGGTTGCGTACTTCCTCTTGATGGAAGATCTCACAAGTGGAATGGGTCGGCCGTGTGTACTCGATCTGAAGATGGGCACGAGGCAGTATGGAATTGAGGCAAGCAAGAAAAAAAGGGACTCGCAACGTCGAAAGTGCAAGACAACAACCTCCCAGCAACTCGGGGTGCGAATTTGCGGCATGCAAACTTTTGATGCCAAGACTGGCAAGGTTTCGTACGAAGACAAGTATTTTGGCCGAGATCTGAAAGCAGGGCGAGAATTTCGAGATGCGCTGATTAGATTCCTGTACGATGGCATCAGTTATAACAGCGTCGCACAGCATATCCCAACCCTTCTCCAGAAGGTTTCAAAACTAGAAAGCATGGTACGGAGGTTGCCAGGCTACCGATTCTACGCAAGCAGCCTCTTGATGTTTTACGATGCCGAACCCCACAAGTCTCGTGAAGCGGAAGAAGCGGCTCGCAACGGGATCGATATTGCACAAAGCAAGAAAAAGGAAGGCAAACGATGGCCGCCTCCTATCGAAATCAAGATTGTTGATTTCGCCAATTGTGTGACGGGCGAGGATCCCATCCCTGCGAATGCTGCAGCACCTCCTGCACACCCGCTCGACGTGGACCGCGGCTACCTACGCGGCCTCAGGACAGTCAAAGCGTATCTGGAGCGAATCCTAAGTGACATCAAGTCGAGCGACGTCCAAGAACGAGAATACGAAATGGAGACCACAAATGGGCACGAACACGGCAAGGAACACTTAGCCTTGCCAAATAATGGTATTCTGGAAGCAGACGACGAAGGGGAGGTCAGTGTCTAGTCAGGGGAACGAAATAGAGGAACATTTCTTTGGAGCAATCCAGCACAGATTTATAATGCAAAAGCGTGGCGGGTTTGGCGAGGAGTGCGGCGTATTTTTGTCGATCTGGTGACAGTCGACACGCTTTCCTCTCGGTGTAACGAACAACGCAGTCATGCTTGGAGTTGATGAGAACTTGGGCAAAGAGTTCGGATGCCGCTCGCACGAGCGGTCTGGGAATGTTTGCTGGGACATGGAAAGGGAATGGACGACTGGCCATCGAGGTACTGTCGCGGTTACTGCTACAATTAGGTCCCAGTCGATACTCCGATGTTGCCACAGGCCGTGGCATACTGTCTCCAATATGATATACCATCAAGTCTACAAAAGTTCTGTAATATGGAACAAGCTGTGAGGTATGAGCTGTGAGCTGTGAGCCCACCTCGGAAATATAAAACCCGACATCAAGTCGACAAAAGTCTAGAACTAGAACTCGCACGTGATCCACTACCCACTGCGGGGATCAGGTTCGCTCGTTCGCTCTTTCCCGCGCTGATCTCCTTCCCATCTCGTTTGCTCCTTCCTCGAACATTTTTATTGTTTGTTCTTGCCCCACGCCCCAATTAAATTGTTGCTTCACCGCCCTCGTTTCGTCCTCGCCCTGATCTGCCCCCCCTTGTTGAAATCAAAGCTGCTGGTCGCCATCGCCACCACCGGTGCTATATTGTCCTCTCGCTCTCTGAGAGCCAGTTCATTACTTTCTTTCAAGGCGCCGTCTATTGTATCCGAACCAGCCACACTTCTCATTGCCCTCAAGTCGACATGTCTACCACTACGACCACCACCACCACCACCACCACCACCACCGTCACTCGCGAAAATGTCCTCACCCTGTTTCCTGAAGTTCATACTCGATTGATCGGCGCAGACATGGAACCGAATGCCGTACCCTCGGATCGTGAGTCTTCTACAGCTACCGACGACCTAGCTGGCTACGATGAGGAACAAATACGTTTGATGGATGAAGTCTGCATCGTCCTCGACAACGAAGACCAAGTCATTGGCTCAGCTTCAAAAAAGTCCTGCCATCTCATGACCAACATCAATCAAGGTCTCCTTCACCGCGCATTTTCCGTCTTTCTGTTTGACCCCAAGACAAAGAAACTCCTCCTTCAGCAACGAGCGACAGAGAAAATCACCTTTCCTGATATGTGGACCAACACCTGCTGTTCACACCCCCTTGCCCATCCTTCGGAAACGGGCCTCGGGGACCTACCCAGCAATGTCGAAGGCGCCAAACGAGCTGCAGTCCGCAAGTTGAACCACGAACTGGGTATCCCAGCCTCGCAAGTTCCTATCGGCGATTTCGAATTCCTTACCCGCATCCACTACCTTGCGCCGTCAGACGGCAAGTGGGGAGAGCATGAGATCGACTATATCCTATTTGTGGAAGCCGACGTAACGCTGGAGCCCAATAAGAATGAGGTCAAAGACACAAAATGGGTTAGTGCCGATGAACTGCGGCAATTATTCAAAGATGTCGAGTCCAAGACTGGTGTACACAAAGATTTGAAGTATACACCGTGGTTCAGGCTCATTTGTGAAGGCATGCTGTTCGACTGGTGGGGGGCACTTGTGCAGGGGAAACTGAGTGAATTCACAAACGAGTCAGGAATCAGAAGGATGTGAGAGCAACGAGGGACAAGTGCACATATCAGAAAGGGACCTTGAACGCATGGCTTCGAAAGTAGGCCAGCCCTTGAGGATTCTCTGCCAATACAGGCAAAATCAACAGTGGCTCACAGGCCCAGACAACAGCCAAACCCTTCTTCAGCGTTGATACAGAGTATCCATCCAGCTATACCACGAAAGAGTCAGAAGGGCTCACACCTCCGTCGGAAAGAAGCAGGATTGCCATTGGGCTGCAGTTGCACAGCCCATGGAGGATGGCGGTGGATGAGTAAACCAATGGTTTCCCTCGCCTTAGCGCATGGCTTAGGCTTACTGTACTCATATCACCAGCGATGCTTTTGAGTAGGTCAGTGTGGGCGAGGAAACAAACATATTGAACTTGAGGGATTGGCCTGGGAGGAGTCTAACAATGTTGTTTGTGCCTTTTAAATTGGTTGAGTCTCGAACAACCTCACACCAGCACTCCTGTGCCATTAAATACAGGATCAGTCTATTAGGCGAATCCCAGAGTAGAAGAGGCATATAGTGTTCACAACCAAATCAATTCAACACACTAGCTTTGCTCAAAGTAATAAAACCAGACCAGACCTTCCAAATCAACAGTTTATGTTCATAGCAACACTATATATATATGATACCGGCCCCTCGTCAAGCCAAGAGGCAACTTCCCCAGACTACTGAGACTAAGCGCCCGAATCAGCATTTCTCTGACGGGCCTCCTCCACACTGCGCTGCCAGTCTGTACGGCTGAGGTAAATGAACTCGATCAAAGCGACCAGACCCAAAGCCAGAGCAACACCCGTCCACAACCCCCATAGACCCCAATCAAGTCCAAAAGCAGTGCCAAAACTGATGGGCATGGCGAAGACATAGTAGCAAAACAACTGAACATAGCCGCCAAACTCTTGACGACCAAGACCTCGTAGAATGCCGTTACACGCGGCAGCAAGGGCGTCGAAGAGTTGGAATGCGGCACAGAGTGGCAGAATCGCAGCGACGATCTCGATGACATCCGGGTCCGAAGTGAAGAGACGCGGGATGTAATCTTTCAGGGTGGAGAGTAAAGTCACATTAAGAATGCCCACGATAATGGCAGCGGAAAAAGTGACTTTGGTGCTGACTTTGGCGGCATCGGCGAGTGTGGCGCCGATTAAATTGGCGACGCGAGTAGACCCCGCGATGGAGAGAGGGAAGGGAATTTGGAATGTCAAGCTGGTCAATGTCGCCAGAACGGATTGCGCAGCAAGTACCGTGGTGCCAAAGTAACTGGCTGCGAACGTCAAGACTTCAAAGGCAAGACATTCGGCTTCAATCATGATGACTCCGGGTAAAGCGAGTTTGATCATGGGGCCCCAGTTTGAAAACGCTCTTTTGGTGAACCCATTCCAGCATGACATGCCTGATTTGGAGAAGAAGCGGACATAGATGAACAGCCCAATGGGGAGCAGTGTGTCGGTGATGGCCACGGCGGTGGGTGCGCCAACGAATCCCCATTGTAATTTCCAGACAAATAGCCAGTTCATGAATGCGTTGAATGGGGCACAGAAAAGGAGGACGTAGAGTGAGGCGGAGAACAGACCTTGGGCTTGGACGAATCGTTTTCCGGCTTCGAATGCGGCGTATCCTGGCGCGCCTATGAGGACGATTTTGAGATAGAGAGCGGCTAGGCGGGCGACTTCGGGCTCAGGGACCAGTGCGCGGAGGATTTTGTCAGCGCTGAGCCAGATGATGGCAATGGGGATGGTGATGGTCCAGAGAAAGTAGATCATTCGTTGCATTTGTAGGCCAACCAGCTTCTTGCGCCCAGAACCAAATGCTTGTGCACAGAGTGTATCCAAGGATGTGGCCAGGCCTTGATAGATGGCGTATCCGGAGATGTTGGCAGACATGGACGCTAGACTCACAGCTCCGAGCTCGACCGTGCCAATATGACCAACGGTGAAGATACTTGCGACAGTCAATGAGTATTGAAGTACAAATGTGACCATCAAAGGGGCGGAATAACGGGCAATGACTTTGGCTTCGCGCTGCCATGTCGTCTGAATCATGCCAGCTGCAACAGCCTCTTCCCACTTGGCCTCGATATTTTCTCGATCCCCTTGTCCACCATAGGGAAGCGTTGGATCTCCGAGAAGGGGAGAGACCTCGGAGGCAATGGCATCGCCCACATGGCCAGGTGCAAGGGCTTGGTCCCCTGGGACGATCTTGCGATCTCCGCCTGGAATATTCAAGTAGCCACCGAACAAGCTCTTCCTCCGGCCTTCGTCGGTCTGTGGGTGTTTTGGTGGGATTATATTGTTGTCACGCAATAGACTCCGTTCCTCTTCCAAGGCCTGGTCTCTTTCACGCTTGGAGAGTCTGTCATGCTCTTGAATAGATCGGGGGAGGACGGTAGCTCTGTTCCCGGCAGCGCTAAAACTTGGACGACGGTAGGAACCGATGAAGGAGTAATTATGTCCTGGGGCGGAGGTCGAGGGCCTCAGCGTCGAAGCTTCTGAGTCGGATTCGGATTCTGACTCGGCAGCTTCAGAGTCGTCGTCATCGGCGAGGTCTCTTGCAATGGAGGCTTGGGCAATTGGGGAGCTGTCGGGTAAAGAATGGGAGAAGACTCTGCTGGTAGCACTGGTGACCCGCTCGAGTGCGTTGAGATGTCTCGAAGGGGTGGTCATGGTGTGCGTCTGGTAAAGCAGTAGAGGGTGCAGTGGCCGTGTAGAAGGGGTTCAGTTTGGAGCAGAGTGACTGTTTGGAGTGGATCACTGGATCTTGAAATGGTGGGGGAAATCCAAATCCCGTGCAGATGGAGATGAGTATCAGTATTCACATGCTCGAGATGTCACAGCGGTCTTGGAAGTATTGTATGAGCGGGTTTTGGAGGCTCTTAACTCGAGTGCTATGGTCCGTCGACAGGAAAATGGAGAGAAGAAGCAGAGAAAGAATAGAGCGGGCTGGGGAAAAGTGGAAAGAGGTCGATAGAGGCTGAGGGATGATAAAGCCAACACGAGCTTGAAGCTGTTGATCACCTCCACCATGTTGAGGTCATCTTACCCTTTAGGCGATAGGTTATCAGGATCAGGGGTGTTTAGAGGCCGTGGGGGCATCGAGGTCTTGGGCTCTTTAAGAATACAGATAGCCTAGAGACGCCTGGAGCTTGTGGCGAATCGGCAGGCCCTACCACATTCGGATGCTCGCTGGAGATCAGCGCGTTGAGACCACCCCAGCCCATGTGCAGCACTTTAGGCGAGTGACCGAGTGTGCTCAACCACGGTGTCCTCCCCAACTAGATATCTATGAGTTATCGTGCACTTCTATGACCAGAGAGCTCATAAGTTTCATGCTGATCGATGGACCTTATAACCATATTTTCCCCATCTATGGTATTGGAGTGTGGCGCCGGTCAAGCTTAATAGTCCCGAGACGCCGATAATTATTAGGCGGATTGCAGGCTTCAACTCCCCCATCTCACATGCTTGGCTCTGGCCTTGGCCCTAAAAGAAGGTCCCCATGATTCGGATTTCTGGGGGAGCTCATTGGGCCGTGCTTTAAGTACCTAGGTAGATATGCACATACAGCCTAATAATCACGACATCGACTCTTGATTGCAATAGAAACCCTAACCATATGACATTTCCCAAATGTCGCTTTTCGAGGTGACTTTGGTTCCTATCAATACGCTTCTGTGCCGTTGAGGCTGGCTGGCCTTCTCCCAAACCTTCCTCAATGGACCCTGGCACAACAAATCCCCAAGTGAGCGACCGACGGCATTGGTTGTACAACCCTGTGACCACTACCATTCAAGCAGACGAGTAAGTAAATGAACAATAGTTCCTCTTGACGTTGCGCAAGACATGACCTGACATCCCCAGACTTCATCCAGACAACAGCGTCAAGCTCTTTCTCAAGACACCCTTGTACGCTCCGTTACTCTTCACCAATGTTCAATCCGACGCTCGAGATCACTGTGCAAATGAACGGACATTTTTGTCCTGGCTTCGTCTTTCGATCTTCCTCACAGTGGTCTCAGTCGCCATCTACACCAACTTCCACCTTAAACACCAACCCACTCCGCTTGAACGTAGCCTATCTCAACCTCTAGGTCTCATCTTTTGGATCCTTGCTGTGGTTTGTCTCGTGAGTGGCGTGGCCAATTACATGAAGACAGTGACCAAATACGCGAATCGCCGTGCTTTGGTTCAATCGGGAATCAAGACTCAGTTCGTGTCACTAATTGTAGCCACCGCCATTATCGTGGCATGCGGGTTGTTCTTAGGTTCCGAAGCACAAGCATCACGAGTCGGACGCAGAACGATATTGTAACTATTCCAGACACTGTCAGAGAAATGACCTTCAATGATGTATATAATAGATGGCTGTGACCTCGTCAGTGGTACACTGAACTCACTCTGTCGTGCCTCTCCCGCTCCCCCCATCCTCTACTGCTTGATTGCTCAGTGTGTCACATGATAAGGCTGCAGCTTGGCGTCCAGAACGCGTCGGCGGCTGACAGGTGATGTGGGCGTGTTGATTGGTTCCCACGTCGCCCATCATTACATTGTCAAAGCCGCACCGCAGTTCAGCCCTCGACCATCCCATGAACAAACCTCGGGTTTCTTCCGCATTGCAAACACATCTCATGGCTTGACAGGCCCTTTTGTATTCTTTTCTCATTCTGCAACCATCTCACTCGTTGTGTCCGGACGCCTTCGTAGTCATGGACGCCGTCTCTTCGAATGACTACCCCGCCGACGGCGCCTACAATCCGTATATCGTCGATCAACAAACCCTCCACTCCCAAGATGACTCCGACAACACCGCCATTCAGAACACTGCCTTTTCCCAGAACACTTCTACACCTCCTATAGACCAAGATCCCAATCAGAGATACAATTCCCCCGGTTTATACCCCCAGCCAAGTTCTCGACCCGACTCAGCCATGGGCGGCACCCAACAAACACAATATCAACAGGAGAACAGACAACAACCAGCCAACAAGAGCAGTGTTGTGATCAAAGTTGGTATGGTAGGTGATGCTCAAATCGGCAAGACTTCTTTGATGGTCAAGTATGTCGAAGGCAGTTGGGATGAGGATTACATTCAAACATTGGGTGCGTGTTGTAACCTTCCTTACCCCCGTTCTCCATCAGTCTGCTGATTCCTTTTACTAGGCGTCAACTTCATGGAAAAGACCATTTCAATACGCAACACGGAAATCACCTTTTCGATCTGGGATCTCGGCGGTCAACGAGAGTTTGTCAACATGTTGCCTCTAGTTTGTAATGATGCAGTTGCCATCCTCTTCATGTTTGACCTCACCCGGAAATCCACCTTGAACAGTATCAAGGAATGGTACAGACAAGGCCGAGGTTTCAACAAGACTGCTATCCCATTCCTCATCGGCACCAAATATGATCACTTCGTCAACTTCCCCAGGGAGGACCAAGAAGAAATCAGCAATCAGGTATAATCCCTCCCCATCCGAAAGTCTCTCCTCACCGCTTACAATTCTACCAGGCCCGTCGTTTTGCAAAAGCTATGAGAGCCAGTCTCATTTTCAGCAGCACCAGCCACAGTATCAACGTCCAAAAGATCTTCAAAATCGTCCTTTCCAAGGCCTTTGATTTGAAATGCACCATCCCTGAAATCGAGAATGTCGGCGAACCTTTGCTCCTCTATCAGTCTACGAACTAGAGATGAAACCTTCTGCGGCTCCTATACTACCGAAAGCCTCTTTGTATTCTGACCTCGGAATCAGTCCATACATGTGGAATACAAAAGCTTTACGTCAAGGATGCACTCCGCAATCGCCATCATCATTGATCCTCTTCCATCCTCCATGCAACCTTTCGCTCCAAAGGCCTCTACGACTTGAAAAAATAAATCAAGCCACACCCAGAGACAACGCCACGCCCATGTCCACCCTTTTTGTCATCCCGTCTTGCCGACACTGTACAGTCGTACATCGACATCACAAACATCATCATCACGTCCATCGAAAACTTTCGTTTGTCCCGATTGAGAATCAACAACAACAAGAACAACCCCCGCACCAATCATCCCCTTACTTCCTTGTCCTTGTTTAGCAGCGGAGCAACATGGTAGACAGAGCCATGGGTCTTGAGAGCTCAAGGAGAGGAGTTGGATGCAATGCAATGCATATTGAAAATGAGGTCGAGATCCTGAGATTGAGGGACAGGGTCGGGTCTAGACACTGCCATTGTCATCGCCACTGGCACAGTCACTGGACTATATGTAAGAAATTGTATCGCGTCTAGTTATCGCAGTTGGGCGAACGGCCAATTGGGCTCGCAATGATCCTCAGAATCAAACTAGATTTGCTGTATGAGAAATGTGTGGGTGGGTTTCGGATCAATGTTCTTGTGTGCTCTGCACGAAGAGAGAGAGAGGGAGGGAGAGTTGATGAGTTCGCTCCTCCACTAAGTAGAGATCTTCTCACGGCACAAGTTTTGCTTGCAGGTTGAGCAACAAGAAAGCCATAGCCATAGCTATAATCATTTCCCATCAGCAGCCTCACTAGTCATGCATCGAGTAATGGTGATTGATTGTGGTCATTTGAGTTTTGCGTTCCTCCGCCCTTCCGGCGTTGTTCTATTTATGTGCAGTTCTTCATCCCCAGCGAGATGTTTGTTCCCTGATAATCATCATCGCGCCATGTCGACGACACAATTCTTGACCACCATATACCGAGTCCCAAGTCGGTATTGACAATTCTCACACTACAAGACTTTAAAAGATGCTTCTGCATGCCGGTATTGATCCCCGATTCCCTCATCACTCAGTCCAACAGTCAAGAATTCTCCTCGAGAATATTCCTAACCATCTGAGTGAACTCCTTCTTCACAAACTCAATGTATCCCTTCCATTGTACCATTTCTCCTGTCAGCTCGGTCGTGGCAGTGGGAAACTTGTGATCAAGCTCTAGTGTCGTCCGGATAACGGCCGCGTTTGCTTCGTTCACCTTTTCAATTTCCTGTTTGACTGCGTTCTCTTTGATCTTGGTGCCCAACACAACCCGGAATTTCTCGGCCAAAGGCGACAAACGGCGACGTGTCTCATCGGGATCGATGGTACTGAGACGGCCCAGCATGAGGTTGCACAACGTACGAATATCGTGATCATCCGGAATCCCGTCCAGAATGCGATCAAAGATCTTGGGGATGGGGAGATGGGGAACTGCAGATGGAGTATCGAGGAGCGCGTACATTGTGGCATATGTCGACTTGCGCAAGTCAAGTCCGCTGTCCTCGTGATGTGTGAATGGTCCAATCTTGATCACTTTCACCAGCTCTGGCTTGATCCGAGAATCATCTAGGACAATTGGCAAAAGTTCTCCAATATCAGCAATGATCAACTCCGGCTTATTGTGGATAGCTGCATTGAGGGTGGTGACGGCTAGACGACGGTTGCCAAGATCCGAGTCGCTCAACATGGTCTTCAGGATCGGGGTTATCGTCTTGGACAATATCGTGTTGTAGGAAGTCCCAACATCACCCAAAGTATACCGGAAGGCTGAAATAACCGTGCCACGTACGGTTGGGTTCGTGTCTTCGAGGGATTTGAAGAGTTGAGGAATGTAGGTATTTGGGTCTATCGTCGCCAGACGACCAATGCACTCTGCACCCACAGCGCTGTTATCCTCTGATTGAGAGACGGCAAACAGCTTCTCCCAAAGCTCTGGTAGGAAGGGAATCATGTCCGTAAAGGAGCTTTCCGAATGCTCCAGAATTTCCTTGAGTGAATGCAAGTAAAGGTAATCCTGGGATGGTGATTGTGTCAGACTCTGTAGAATTACAGGTAGACATTCGGCGACGTTGTTCGAGCTGGCACTGCCGAGCGCAACCGCAGCTGTAAGACGCACTTTGTCGGAATCTGCAGAGAGGCATTGAACAAAAACGTCCATTTTAAAGGGTGACTTTGTGCCTGCTCGGAAACCTACTTCCCCAAGGACTGCTAAAGCAAGACACACGGCTCGAATGTCTTGGGAAGCTTCCAATTCCTTGAGAAAGTCCGAGATGGTGACCCCAAGGTTATCGCCGCCATAGACAAGAAGCGTTCCTATTGCTCTCCCGAGAACCATGGTTTCGCCGGCAGTTCCAACGCTCAACAATCCTTTCATGAGAGGTGCACCAACTCCATGTTCTCCGATGACTTTGACAACGAGGAGGTATGCTCGCAGCGGAGGTCCTTCCATGCGAGACTTGGTGAGACTGCATAGAGCATTGACGATATCAGCATTGACCAGAGCATCTGCGTTTGTCGGTATGATTTTGGACAAAATGACCAGGGCAGGTGTCAATAAATGCAAATCAGACCCAGTAACCAGAGGGAGCAGTAAGGCTTCGAGTTGCAAGATCGTCTCCGTTTCGTACTGTGCAGATGTGACCGGGTTTAGCGCCAAATACTGTAATGACTCCAGGCAAGACGTTCTTAGAGCACGATCGGCTTTACGTAGCTGATTGGCCATTTCGATCGAGACATCCTGGATCCAAGCAGACCCGATGTTATCGTGTATGCTGGCAGCCTCACCAATAAGGCCAATGGCTCTAGCGCTTGCCAATCTTGTAGTCTCATTTTTCAGACGATCATTAAGGATTCCCAAGCTCTTAGTTCTGGTTGCAGGGGGAAGGAGCTGTGTAGATGATGTCCGAGCGAGGAGAACCCCAAACACTTGAATGGCGCGGTGCCGGACCTCGAGATCAGTATTGTTGTCAGTGACTCTATCCACGACCACATCCCACAATTTCTCAATATGAATCGCGTGGTCTTGGTTAGTGGTCAATAGTCGAGGAGGCGTCAAGGCTTTGGCAAATTGCTCAATCGTAGACAGGGCCTCGGTAGAAACTTTGAAATTCCGCTCTCGAGCAATTGCTGTCACTGGAGGAATCAGAGCAATGACGAATGGAACCAGAACTGTTGTCTCGTTGGTCTCCGTGACAGCGCTAATGAGATTCAGAGTTTCAATTTGGAGGCTGGCGATTGTAGCCGATGTTCCCGAACTCGTACTTCCCGACCCAGTTGTTGACGAATGTTTCAGGGCATCTGCAATGGGATCTTCTAGCTGTTGCAGATGATCAGACAGGATTCCATTCCTTGCTAAAGCAAGTGTTTTCAGCATGGTCACAGCAGCTTGTCTCAACGAGATGGTAGCCTTCTTCCAAAGCTTGGATAGAGCCTGGACGATCTTTGGTACTAGAGATAGAAGCTCAGCCTGAGAACCGGTAGGCGGGGATGCGGGGAGGATGGGAGGACTTGATCTTGAAGCAATCAGTCCTCTCAAATCCGGGTCTTTGCGATCAGCCTCGCTGTCTTGTCGTCTTCGCTTTCGCGTGTTAGGCGGTGCAGCCACACTCTCCGACGAGTCGCGTCTTGAAATTGTCTGTGTCAGCCCAGAACCAGTCTTTCTAATCAAAGCGGTGGTCGTGGATATAAGTTCCAATTGCACGCTATCTTCCCGCTCACTGAATAATCGACTGATGAGGACAGGAGCGATGGTGCCAAACAATGTGGCACGATCAGCAGCAGACACGGCTGAAACGATTGTGTGCAAAGTCTTTGCAGCACATCTTCTGACCTTCCAGCTCATGTCATCGACATCGCTGAAAGCATCATCATCATCAAGCTCGGCGTACTCATCGTCCTCGTCCTCGTCCTCATCCAGGGCGTCTTCTGTGACGCCATCATCAGAATTGCTCTCCTGAGTTCCGCCCATCTCATCATCCTCATGGTCGGCGACATTCGGGTCGTACTTCAAGAATCTCAGGGCTGACTCAATCGCGATAGGAAGATGGGGTTTCATCTGCACAGGGCATGATCCGAGTAAAGCTTCGAGGGCTACAAGAGCAGTTTCTCGCAATTCCTCGACTTCTGGGTCAACTTCATTCTCGTCGTCAGAGAGGTTTGCCGAAGCAGAGAGTTCTTCTTGACTCAAGATCTGAAGCACTGAGGGCACCACTTGGTCGAGATAGGGTCCAAACTTAGCCGGACTAGAGCGAGCCAAAGTGCCGATCGTGGCAATCAGAAACCGCTGGTGCTCCACGGTCAAGTGACCACTTTGGAAGCTCTTGGTAATGACATTGACGAATGAGCTGACTTGAGAGTCATTGAAATGGATCAGTAGGGCGCCGATGCCTGCGAGCGCCCGCTTCTTGACAACTCCTCCAGCCTGTGGACTCTCAATGATATTCATGGTGGCTTGGGCAAGTGCAACCAACTCTTGATCCTTAATCATCGGGCCGTAGCATTTGACAATTTCAATCATAACATCGACTGCATCGCTGCTATAGCCCTTGTCTTTTTGTCTCTGAAGGAGGCCGGTGGGCAATTGTGGTGCAGGCTTGCTTTGCGGAAGAACAACACGTCCGACTAGTCTTGGGATCAAGACTTTGCTGACGGCGATGTATGCATCATTGACTGCCGCACTCTCAGTACCTGGATGAGGCTGGGGTAAATAGGCAATTAGCGTCCGTAAGGCCGTATTGGGGATCGAGATATCGATGTCCGACGTTGTGAGATCGGTTAATTTGTCAATAAGGGGGGCGATTATCTCGTTGGGGGTTCTCGTTGCAAGAGGACCGACACTGTATCAGTCAGAACAACTTCTGTTTGGGTGATTGAAATGTAATCTTACCATTTCAAGGCTTGATTTTGGACTTCGCCATGCGGATCAGACAGTGCCTTTAGCAAACCCTCAATGATCCTCGCAGCCATGTGCGGGTCAGAGCGGAGATACTCAGAGGACGTGGCATTGAGAAGATTAGAAAGGTCACTCAATTGCATGAAGCGAATGTCTGGATCCGGGTCATTGAGTTTGCTTAGGAGGTTCGCGATGCTCATTTGCGTGCCGCTGCGGTCTCGAGACATGATGGAGGTGTGTTTTTGGCGTGGAAGCCACAAGAATCACACAGGCCCAATCTTGTGCTCAATGCCGGTACTGACTGTTGTCCTATGCTTTTGCTTTTTCAACAGAGGAAAAAGGTGTTGGCGGAGGCGGTGGGTTGATCAGAAGGAGGAGGCGAGGGAGAAAGATGGTGCATTTGTAACGCTGAAATGCTGAAACGCTTCACGGTAGGCAAGCAAGGATTCCACGAACCATTTCCATGAGGAGTATTAACAAGCAAAACGAATTGGTACAGTAAAGGACCGAGTAGAGAGGTGAAATTGTGTCAGTCACACTGCCTCTTCAGCAATATCTCTCCACAGTGAGGGTTGGAGGGGAAGTCGTTGAATCTCGAGGGCGCGTTCTGATTTGCGGGAGTGCGAATGACCCTTGACCAATGACGTCGGAGATGCAAGATATCTTGGCATTTGCCTCCGGCTAAGTTACTGCATTTGTAAAGTTGGAGCTCGATTAGCAAAGTTGGAGGCTGGAAGCTCAAGCCTTGGGCAAGGAGCCTAGCGAGCACTGCGGCGGTACCTGGAAGCTCCCCATTATTGAAGGTCGACTGAGGAGAAAGCCGGGACCAGAGCATAATTGTAAAGCTGTTTCTTGCGCCATCCACCCTCACCTTGAATACTCCTCCTACCCTCAGCCTTCTTCGACACGATTTTTGTTCGCTTCCACAAGCTCACCCTCACTCCCAGTGCCCAAATGGTCCTACCTAGAGCCTCAGTCCTCCGGGGCAGTCTCCGAGCTGCCACCTTCAAAAGAGCCGGTATCCAAGCTCGAACAACGTTACGGGGTGTTGGGCAACGGTCTTATGCCAGTGGCCATGAGGCCAAGAAGGGCAGTGATATTCCTTGGTGAGTTTCGATCTTCATCATACTACATCACATGAGCCCGGGCATAATCTGACTCTGTTGCCAGGTTAATCGGCTCCATCGTCTTCACAGTTCCAGCGGCATCATGGCTCTATGCACAAGGGCCCACACCCTCGGAGCATGGCCACGGCCACGACGCACACAAAGAGGAATCCGCCGAGGAGGCCAAGGAGGAATCTAGCGGAGAGGAAGAGAAGGGTGAATCCTCCGAGGAGAGCAAACCTGCATCAGATGAAGCTGAAAAGACAGATGACTCAGAAGATGAATCCGAGAAAAAGTAGGGTATACAGCGACAAAGTCTGAACAATTACTAAAACGTTGCCAGAGCTCCCGGTGCAGTTCCAGAGGATGCAGAGACCGAATCCAAGGGTGAAAAGGATGTACGTTGACTTGTTGACACTGCGTTACTGGTGCAGTATCTGACTCTCTGGCAGGCTCAAAGCGATGTCACGGGCGCTAAGAATCCTAAGCTAGACGACCCTAGCAAGAGCAAGAAGAGCGAAGGGGTCCCAGAGACGGCCAAGATTCACGGCACTGTTGATACCAGTCAATCCACAGAAGGAGAGAAGGGCGACAGCTCCTCCGAAGAAGGCGAGTCCAAGGAGGACAAAGAAGAGTAAATCAATAATGGCAGGCAGCCAAAGCCTGGTCCAATGCGCATACAATCTACTGGGAGTCCGATAGTACAACGATCAAAGGTTCTAAAGGACCTCGAGCGGGCTCGACCATCGGCGGCAGCATTGACTTTCCGGTTACGGAAGAGTCCGCTTTGCATCCATGGAGGCATAGGTGTCTCGTTATGTCATGGCTGACGGGTCCAAAACCAAAACTTGTACATAATGCTGGTTCAATATACAAAGAAGATTACCACATTACTAAGAGCGTACCTGCGGATTGAAGTCTCAGAGACAGTCACATTGGTTAGGTATTGGCCAATCTAGGCCAGAAAAGAGCATAGACATCCTTCTCTGAGTGGTAGGAGGATTGCTTAGACGATGATAACCATAGAAGATTGTTCTTGAAGAGCGAATAGGTTCCAAACCACGTGACCTGGGATGTTCTCCAGGATTTTTAAGAATGGATGCAATTAAACGGGGCCCTGGAAAAGGAAAGGCCCGGAAGTTGCTTACACCCGCTCCTGCACTGGAACACTTTCGATAAAAGTAACAACTAGAAAAAGAATTGCATCTACTCTACCCCTTCGGTCTGCGACTTTGTCTTGGTGACAATCAAACAGCGTGCGACTGAGTTGGGCTGAATATTTCACAGTCATGGGTCGCCCACGCCGAACATCAAGTAACCTCGGGGGCGACCCTCGTGGTGACACCAGTGCCCCGGCGTTGGCAACGATGCTGTCGCGCCCAAACAATTCGAATTTGCGTCCCTCGGTCGGTGCAATGCTCTCTGAGACAGATGTGTCCAATACTGATGGTTGACAGGCCGCAGAACGAGAATTGAAACCGCACTCGAAAAGACGCAAAGCCCGATCGATCCTTCGCAAATGGAAACACATCTCTCTAAAGCACACGTGGATCAATCCTCTGATTCTCATGCTGGCCATATTGATTGCCTACTACGTGAATCCCGGCGAACAAAATCCTCTTCACCGCGCCATCTTCCTCTCCTACCCTCTCGGCCCTGACTACCCCGGCGGGCCAAATATGTACGGCAAAGGCAAAGCTGACATGGCCTTTGTCTCCTTCTACATGATCGTGTTGAGCTTTACGCGAGAATTTTTGATGCAGAGGGTCATCAGACCCATGGCGATCTGGTGTGGGATCAGGAAGCGAGCAAAGCAGGCTAGGTTTATGGAACAGGTCTATACAGCCATATATTTCTCGATCTTCGGGCCTTTTGGCCTGTATGTCATGTCCAGGGGTCCCTTGTGGTATTTCAACACAACTGCCATGTTTGAAGGATTTCCGCATCGCAAGCACGAGGCTCTGTTCAAGGCATACTACTTGCTACAAGCCAGCTACTGGGGTCAACAAGCTATCGTCCTCATGCTCCAACTGGAGAAGCCTCGAAAGGATTTCAAGGAACTGGTCTTGCATCATATCGTGACTGTGGCACTGATAGCACTGAGTTACCGATTCCACTTCACGCATATGGGAATCGCAGTCTATATCACCCATGACATCAGCGATTTCTTCCTGGCCGTGAGCCCCCCGCCCAATCTCGCCGACTGAAGCAGTTGCTGACTCTTGTTAGACTTCGAAGACACTGAACTACCTCGACAATGTCCTGGTCGGGCCCTACTTTGCCGTCTTTGTGGGCGTGTGGGTGTATCTCCGCCACTATCTTAACCTTCGCATCCTCTGGGCGACTTTGACCGAATTCCGGAGTGTTGGGCCGTTTGAGTTGGATTGGGAGACACAGCAGTATAAGTGCTGGATCAGTCAGTATATTACATTCTCGCTCCTTGCCTTATTACAGGCAGTGAATTTGTTCTGGCTGTTCCTCATTCTACGGATCGCCAAGAACTACGTTTTCAGCAATGCGATTGCAGATGAGCGCAGCGACTCCGAGGAAGAAGACACCGATGTGGAGATCAAAGAGGGAGGTGCGAAAGAGATCACCGGCAAACAACCAACAGTGCTCCTCAATGGCGAGCCTGTCGAGGGTCAAGGGAAATCTGCCATGTTGCGTGAAAGGAAACGCAAGGGCTGAATGTTGGAAATAGAGGACGCGCTGTGCCACGCCAAGTTGCATCCTTGTATCATGCTAATTGATGACATTCTACATATGTAACACTACCTGGATAGAATGATATACTTTTGAGTGGGTATAATCCCCTTACTAGTTACCTTTAGTTATTGACACCGGTGAAACCCCAGAAATCTCCAATTTTGTGCTCCCACACTGGGTGACAGAACCCGAGCTGTGGGGAAGTTGCACGACTTTGGGAGAGGCACCCGCCGGGGCTGACTGAAACTGTGTTGTTGGTTAAGACAGACAAGGCGACCGTCAGGCAGTGGTGTCTGAGTGTCGGTAGCTAAGGTACCCAGGTAGCTATGGCGCGTGGGATGTATGGCTGCATCTGCATCTAGATGATGGCGCTGACCATTCATAATCACAGTTGAATCTTCGTGTCGCCGATGATCAGCTACCTGGTAATTACCTCCCTGAAGTAAGAAGTAGGAAGGTACCTGCCATGTCTTCTTACATGGTCTTTGGAGGCAAGTGGTGGGTGGGGGAAGGCGCGACCGGTCCGATTCGGCAGTTGGCAGTTTTTCTCATCTTCAACTTCATCTCCAACGTCAGCTGGTCAGTGTCCTCCCTGGCCGGCATTTCACTTTTTCTCCAGGGCCACATGTCTACTCCTGGTTGAGTCCTGGGTAAAACCCGTGCATCTGTTTGCCCAGTCGCGAACATGGGGCGCCATGGGCTGAGATTGATGACCTGAAGTCATCTCAATTGATGAAACAATCATTGGCGAGTCCACACACGACAACTCCTCCACTTGATGACTGCATTTTCAAACCACCGGTCAGCACTCCATACGCGTTGACATACCTCATCCGCCACCACATGGGGAGTCGCTCGGGGGTTGCTCTGCCTCGAGTCGCCCACATGTGTGGCCACATCTTACCACCCTACCCACGCATGGCTACGAGGGAGTTGTGGTGTGGTACGCGGAGCACCCTTCCACACCTCGTGGGGCTGGACCTGGGTTTCCCCATACAATCAAGTGTGGGGCAGGTGCAGTATCCACGCCATGGGGATTTCCCGTTAGATGTACTTGTACGGTACCGACATGATGACCACCGACAAGTCAGAGCCCGAGGCTCTCGTGGAGGCACCCTGCTGCCCCATTATTGAGGTCCATCCACGGTAGATGGTGATATGGCAACGCCCGTCCACAGCACCATGCGCTCGCCCGTAAACGGTTTGTACTTTAGTTGTCCGTTTCGTTTCTGGTTGTTCTCCATTCATTCTTCCCCTTGTGCATCTATTACGCTCTCACCATGGCTCAGGCTCAGACTGTCGCCGATGAGGCTCCCTTGACCCAAGCGGCCATTGTCACTTGCTGGCTATTCATCAAGAGCCATCCCTATCTTATCTTATTCCTTCTGCTCTTCGTCCGACCTCTCTTCAAGCGATATTCATCTCCTCTCAGACAGTTCCCTGGCCCTTTCATCGCATCATGTACACGCCTATGGAAAGGTAAGGCTCAATACATGAAGTAAGCCACAAGCCCCACTGACCTCGCCTCCAGTCTGGAGCACATGGACAGGTAAAACAGAGCAACATCACATCGCTCTTCACAAGAAATACGGTACGTCATTCTTGACATTCGTAGAATCTAGGCCACCAAGCTAAACTCCCTGCCAGGTCCTGTGGTTCGCATCGCCCCCAATGAACTCAGCTTCTCTTCACCAGAAGCCGCCCTGGAACTCTTCAAAACCGGCAAGGGCTTCCATAAGACCGACTTCTATGGCGTCTTTCCACCTCCAGAAAACCCGGACATCTTCACTGAGACTCGAGAGTCAGTACACGGTGTGAAGAAGCGATACGCCGCTACCCCGTACAGTTTGGCCTCAATGCAGCAAAGCACCAGCCGGATCGAAGGTACCGTAAAGCTCTTAATTTCAAAGCTTGACGAGTTTGCTACAAGTGACCGTGTTTGTGACTTGGGCGAATGGTTACATTTCTTTGCGTTTGATGTGAGACTCTCATCCACTACGCTTCAGCGCAGAATTGTCCGTTGATTCACAGAACTAACATTGGATAGGTCCTTGGCGAAGTTGCCTTCTCGAAGGATTTTGGATTTCTTGAAGCTGGCGTCGACGTGGATGGAGCCATCAAAACAATTGATAATTCACAATGGTACAACGGCATCGTTGGCCAGGTGCCCTTCCTCGACCATTTCTTGCGCCGCAACCCGCTATGGCAATTTGTCCCATTCCTAGCCACCAAAAACGCGCTTGTCACTCGTACCGCCATTGGTCAACTCGAGAAGCGCAAGAACCCGCGCGGCGAGAAAGTTGAATACCGGGATCTGCTAAACAGTTTGATCGAGGCTCAAAAGGCACACCCTGAGGCGCTGGGACACGGAGATGTGTTCGCGATTGCCCATGGAGCTATCTTCGCTGGCAGTGACAGCACGGCCAGTACCATGCAGAGCTTTTGCTGGCATGTGTTGTCCAACAAGCGGGTTTACGACAAACTGATTGGGGAGATTCTATCGGCGAATCTGTCCGAGATGGTGGCTTTCAACGAGGCTCAAAACCTCCCATACCTCCAAGCTTGTCTCAAAGAGGCCATGCGTGTGAGTCCTGCGGTGGGGCTGAACATTACCCGCAGAGTACCGCCTTCAGGAGCTGAGATTGATGGGGTCAAATTGCCCGCTGGAACCGAGGTGGCTGTCAATGGATGGGTGTTGCACCGACATAAAGGCATCTTCGGTGAGGACGCTGATATTTTCAGACCTGAGAGATGGTTGGAAGGTGATAAAGAGAGCATCAAGATGATGGACCGTTGCATGTTTCAGGTAAGAACTGTCTGCCCTTTGCTTACTTCGTTCTTGCGGAAATTTTGCTGTGCTCTCTTCACGAGACGCCTTTGGACATTTGCTAACCTGTCCTTCAGTTTGGCGGAGGTTCCCATGTATGCATTGGGCGACATTTGGCGTTGTTGGAGATGAACAAGGTTCTACCCCAGCTGCTGCGCCGTTATGATATCCAGCTTGTGAATCCAAACAAGCCGCTAGAACACCATTCGAGCTTCTTTGTGGTGCAATGGGGATTGCTGACATATCTGAAGATGAGAGAGAATGTATGAAACCATTGTGGTTGCCAGGTTGTATATTTTTATTTGCATTTAGCAGTGCCTTGTTGAATAGTATATCAAGGATTATATACACTAAATTCAAACCCTCCGCTGTAAGGCAAAGTCACACTTCTGAACGGCCCATCAGGGTTGCGAAGCACCTTCAATAGATCGCCATATCGGTCGACAGAAGAGATGGTGTTGTCAGTCAGTACAACAGCGCCTGGGCGGAGACGTGGGAGGATGTGATTCAGTGCTGGGAGAGCAACGTGGGGCCATACTGCATGCTCGCGGAGTGTTCTGGTCAGCGATACAGAATGACATGACAACAAGGAATTGCTCAATTAAGGCCAGTTGATGGTGCAAGTGGGGATTCACTCACTGTCAAGAAGCAAAAAATCAATCTTCTGACCATCACGCAAACCCAGATCACCAGCCAACGTCTCATTCAAATCCCCAACCTTGAGTTCAATGTACTTTTCAACCTCTGGACCAGCCTCCGCCCAATACCGTCTTGCAATAGCAGCCTTGGAGTCTTCCTTCTCCGTACCAATGACTCTGCCAGTGACATTCAGGTCGCCACGAGCCTTGCGAGCCTCGACATTGCGAGCGACCGCCAGGGCTAGATAGATGGTACTGACGCCGAAGCTAGTGCCGGCCTCGACAACCGTAGTTGCATCCAGAGATAGAAGCAGGTTATACATGAAAAGACATTTGTCTTGGTCCAGCGCGATGAACTTGTCTAACATCAAGGCATCAAGTGCCAGGTAGCCCTGCTTTGGGTCGGTGGCGGCTTGTCGTCGTATCTCACCGATCTCACTGCTGGATATTCCAGATTCTTGTGTCGATGACTGTGCGTGTAGTCGGGTAAGGAGAGATGTGATCTTGTCAGTTGTTTGTAGTGGGGTTACGGGTGGGTAAGACATGGTGGATGGTAGGTTTTGTTTGGAGGATTCAGGCTTCGAGTAAAGACAATTGAGCAAAATAGCCCTGTGACCTATAATTCAACGAGGATGAAGATGTAATGGGACAGAGTTGTAGATCCCTAGATGTATATATATATATATCGTATTCACAGGCCTATGACTCACATTTGTCGACGTGTATCGTTCATGTAAACCGGTCCGATATACGGACGTATACGTAGCGGAATCTAGACCGCCATGAGGAGAGACTTGAAGGTTTTCGGAGATGTGGTGGTGGTGGACTTTGTGACTAACTGCTGTGGTTGCATCGAATGAAGGCCAGTGAAAAGATCTGGGGGATTTGAGGCGGGGGAGAGAAAATGACGGGGAACACGTGAGTCACCAAAGATTAGATTAGATGCGATGCATGTGATCTTGGAAATTTCATCCCATCAAAAGTTGCAGATTCCGCCCGCATACTTTCCAACACTCACCAAGTGAACGTCACACAGTCCTTCATGTCTGGTTTGAGTTTGACCTGTTCGTACTGTCACAAACAGCTCTCTTTCCTCGACCCATCGAGATGAAACTCGACACGAAGTCCCTCCGGTACTTGAATCCGACCGATTGGCGAGTCCTCACCGCAGTCGAGACCGGTAGCCGAAATCATGAGGTCGTCCCTACTCCTCTGATTGCGAATCTCTCCAAGTCCACCGTCGGCGATGTCCAACGCAGTATCTCTCTTCTTGCAAAGGCGAATCTGATCGCCAAAGTTAAAAACGCAAGCTACGACGGCTACAGATTGACTTACGGCGGTCTGGACTATCTTGCCCTCCACTCTCTCCAGAAAAATGGCGTGGTGTACAGCGTGGGCAATCAGATCGGAGTGGGAAAAGAAAGTGATATTTTTGTCGTCAGCGACGACAAGGGCGAGCAACGGGTGCTGAAAATTCACCGACTGGGCCGCGTCAGTTTCAAGAAGGGCGTCAGAAATAAACGAGATTACGCACGCACCAAACAACAGAGGGAAAGAGGAGCCGGCAGCTGGATGTACATGTCAAGACTTGCCGCAGTCAAGGAATATGCCTTCTTACAAGCACTATACGATGCCGGTCTCAGTGTGCCTGTGCCGCACGGCCAAAACCGCCATCAGTTAGTGATGCAGTTGATCGATGGCTTCCCATTACGACAAATTGACCAAGTCCCCGACCCCGCGGGGCTGTATGCAGACTTGATGGAGTTACTCGTTCGCTTATGCTCGCTCGGTCTGATCCACGGTGATTTCAACGAGTTCAACATCCTCATCAAGGAAGAGGCAACCCGAGACGAGGACATAAAACTCATACCTGTCCTGATTGATTTCCCCCAGATGGTTAGCGTGGATCACGCCAATGCCGAATTCTACTTTGACAGAGACGTCGCTTGTGTGAAGCGATTCTTCGAGCGGAGGTTCGGATTTGTGAGCTCAGAGCCAGGCCCTTACTTCGAAGCTTCCAAAGCCCTGGTCGGCAAGGACGGAGCGAGACGACTTGATGTCGAAGTGGAGGCGTCGGGATTCTCTCGCAAGATGGCCAAGGATCTCGAGGCGTACATGAAGGAGCACGGCATCGATGGCGACGCTGAAACCGCCGAGACACATGGGTCGAACTCTGACCACTCGCAGGATGAAGATGAGGACGACGACAACCACGAAAACGACCACGATGATGATCGCAATAATCACGAGATCCTTCCAGACGAGACGCCCTCCGGCAGTGGCTGATTTGTGAAAGGCAACATCCCTGTCCGGCCGATACGATGAACCTTTTGACACCACGATACGGAGTGTTCACGTTACAATCAGTGATCACGACCCATTTTGAGGTCACATGAAACTGGAGGGATCATAAGGCTTATGCCTCCGCCCAGGCGAACCAACAACAAAAGCGCATTCTGCCTCGCCTCGTCTGGCAAAATGCTTGGACTGATCCAACGTCCTGTTCTAGACGGACATCCGCGGGATGGCGGGAGTCAACAACGACTACTTCCATGACGATGGCGACCAAATATGGTTAGATGCGTGACCAAAGTTGAAACCTCTGTCTAAGCGAGGTTCAACAACCCTAACGCCCGTCTCCACAGGCTCGCAGCGTTGGGTCAACAACCGGCTCCTCTAGACTCTTGGCAGCTTCAGATTCAGGTTTGCAGCACTAGCCCACGACTAGGCAAGCAAGAAGTGACGATATTCCCCTGCTACAGTATGGCGTGTTATCATACATGTGAAACGTTCAGAACCGTTTTGGTCAAGCAAGTGCAAGATTGGTCTCCACCGATGGGGTTCATGGATGGAGTTCATGCAAGAAGCAAGAAACTTTGCACGAACAGGTCGAGGTTGTTGCCACCGCCGGGAACTGCTTTTGAGAAGCAACTACTGCCACCACCCACAGTAGACCGCATAAGCCTGAGAACCAAAAGCAATAAGACCGTTGAACATGAGTTTAAGGTTTTGATATCCTCCGACGTGGCCGTTCAGGGTCTGGGTCTGGAGTCGACATGCCTCGAGCACAACTTTCTTATTGCAGATCATGGAAGCTAATCGAGATCGGGTTGCCTTGACAGGAGTGACAGCATTACAGGATAATAGAGTTGAAGTGGCATTAAAAGCTCCGAAACCATGCCTAGACGGTGGACGATTGGCAACGGGTTGACCCATGGGCAGCTCAAAACATCGAACGACGATCAATACCCAGTCTTGAAACCCTACCACACGTGCGTGGCTGTTGTACTGAATTTGTCGTTGCTGTCTGCCTTTTTTGGTTCGTGGATGAATATTGTTCAGGACATGGTGTCTGGGCAGTTCTGGGGTGGATATCACGAATTGGGACATGGCGACCCTCAGAGTTGACTATAACAAGATGAGGTTGCAGAGTGACGATGCAGTGATGAGCAGTGTTAGGAAACACTGAGAACAATCAGACCATGCCAACCTTGCCATCCTGTCCAACCGAGCCAAACTATTCAAAATTGAAACCACCATTTCCACCATCCTCGAACTGTGGGGGATTAGGGCAACGGCTATGCACGCCTGCAGTCCGCCTCGCGCTAATACCTGCACTGTACCTGCGTTGATGATCATGATTTCTTCTATGACAAGATCTACTTAGCAACCCCAAGACTGTAGCATTAACAATCATCGGCGCTTTGGAGGATACCAGAGGACCGAAGGTCCAGTGGGCTTGCTCTCGTCAAGCATAACCTTAGTAGGTCGGAATATTTTCCTCGTGGGAGGCACGTGGCTTAGTCTTGCCATCAAAGAAGTAAGACATCAAATGTAGGCACTGTCTACGGAGTGGCAGTTGTTCTTCTATTTATCATCAACTGATTATCACCCTCGATTCACATGTATGGTGATGGTGGTGACATGACAGTTCGAGCGTGACTGCGAGGATTGGTCCGAGGCCCCTGACCTCTGAAGGGGCCCAGAAAGCTTTGAAACAAGGGAATCCCTGGTCCACTTCGTGCTGTCCTTACGAAGAGGGACGCTGAGCCTAGCATCAACAAACAGAGGTAGACGATGGTATGGAGCCTATAGAAATCCTTCTGGACAGGAAAGTGATGCATAGGTACGCATATGCGAACCCTCGATACAAGCCCACAAGTTCATCATAGCCCACCTGCTGGTGTGAGGGAGTTTGCATTAATCATGCAGCTTAACTACGTCTAGGGTGCAATAGGCTTGGGGGCATGCGTAGAACAAGGTCGCTGGCGTCGAAAGCCCTGGGATGGACGCCTCGGCCCTCAACTGCAATCCTCAAATAGCGTAAACATGCTGCGCTGTGGCCCTTGCAACATCATCTCAACCAGCATGAGCCAGCATGAACATGGTCGCTTAAGGCTGCAAAGACTGCGTCGAAGGTGCTGCCAAGCTCTGAGGACCACCGGGGGTCTGCACCTGCAAGGGCCGATCTTGTCAATACCCCCGGATAAGCTCAGGCACTAAAATACCAGTCAAGCCTATGGGAGACCACGGGTGCCTTAACTAAAGACTTCCCCAGGTGATCCGAACAACCCAAAATTGGCGCTACTCTCTTCCGCGTGGACGGAGATTATCGCACCAATGCCCTTTGACTGTAGGCCCCCATAGCCCCTGTCAAACCCATGCACGAGGCAGGGTCCCGACTCCATTTGCCGCTCGACCTCCCCTCTGCAAAGCGCCCGTCGGCCACGGCCCTTCAGGCGCTCCAGAAGTTGTCCAACCGGTATTCCCCAGTAGCACCTCGTCCTGTCTGTTCCTCTCGTCAATTGATCACTGTAATTAGGGTATGGAATTAATTGCGAGCAAACAACATCAGGGTACCCAGGCATCGCAGGCTCCGTGTGGACTCGCAACGCTGGATATTTGGATAGATACCTGCCTACTCCGTCGTTTGCCATGATTAGAAGTAAGATTACCTTGGCAACGGCTCTCACACATCCAAGCCAACAGTACTCTGCCGTGTCTGTTTATACCGTCTATGTGAAGATACCATTCGTTACTACTAGAACGACGGTCTACAGGAATTACACAAGGGTTGCACGTAAAAGTGGCTGGTGAGTCCACTGTGAGCGGCCCTTGGATATCAGCGTCTTGGGTGGTAGTCGATGGAGGCTCTCCAGTACCTGAGTTTAGGGACCATTGGGACTTTTTTTAGGGACGGTTAGGGAGAATGCTAACCGTAAAAGGTGTTTATGCCCCCAAGTGGTGACCCACAGCCACAGGCACGTTCGATCCACCTGCATCAACGCCTATACCGTTTTCATCGTGGACGCGGCCCCTCTGCATAAACTTTGGTCTCCTGAATCTCGAGTCTTTGACTCTTACCAAGTGAATTTTGGTCAAGTCACTTTTCCACAGCGGCTCCGTCCTTTGTCTTCCTTGTCCAGGCTGCGACAGCCTTCGCCCTGTAGTCAGCACATCCAGTAACTCCGTTCTCTGGCTCCTCTACTGGTCCACCACCCCTGTTTTTTTTTCTAAAATTCACCTTACACGCGAACCCTTCCCATCCCATCCCACTGTCGGTCGCGCACTCTTCGTCGCTTCTAAACAAGTCACACATTCGCAACAGATAACACTCGATCGGGCTTGTTTCTCGTCTCTCAACCTCTGCATCTGCAACTCGGTTTGCCGCCATTATCAATCTTTACATCGACATCTCATCGAACCCCCTCATTTCCTGTACGCATATGCACACGTCCCGCTTACCCTAGAGCGTCCTGGCGTGCACAGATTCTTTCCATGGTCTGTAGCCCTCCCCTGCCTGTCACCTACCCATACAACACTACACGTCCGAATCATAAAAGTCTTTCCATCAGACTTCAGCTTTCTTACGCTTCCGAAGACAGCGGATCTGTCCCATCCCCCACAACTGACAGGGACACCTCTTCCATCTGGGTCACATCCATCTGTCAGCTCTACTTAGCCTCTCCACCGCCGATCTTGGCCTAGCCATCAGGATTGTCGTCCCGACCCTTTAACCGTTGGACCTCTTATTCCCTACCTCCCATCCTCCACGCGTGACTTCATGCTGAGAAGTCCTCCACACCCTTCGAGGTGGTGCGCCCACTGACACTCTGCCGTTTTACATCCATTAAAGCGCGACCGCCACGCCCTTGCTGGCTTCGAAGTCACCGGCAGCCATAGATCAACATGATCTCCTCTCCACCTGGGTCACCAGATGGCACACGCCAGATCCGCCCCCAGAGCATGTACACCGTCCCCTCTCCTGACGCCTCACAATCTCGTCGCCCTCAGAGCATGATGACCCGTCCTCCCCCTCGCAGCCACAGTCGCATGAGTCAGAGCAGTAGACATGGTGGCAGCAGAGCATCAGATGAAGACGCAAAGACTGCTGTCAAAGTCGGTACGTGCCGCAAGTTAAAAAAAATATACTCTATAACGCACTGACAATTCTACAGTGGTCCGTGTACGTCCTCCGCTTGGACCATCAGATCCTGGCTTCGACCTCATCCCTCAAAGATTCCAGCGTTCCATGGTGCAGGTCAACACAAATACAACGTTAGCCGTTGAGTCTCCTCAGGGCAAGAAGATTTTCATATTCGATCGCGTCTTTGGCCAGGACACAACCCAACAGTCAGTGTGGGATTATTTACACGAGAGCGTTGACTCCTTCCTCCAAGGTTACAATGTCTCCATTCTTGCCTACGGCCAGTCTGGCTCAGGAAAGAGCTACACCATGGGTACCTCGGGACCCGGCGAACAAGCAGACTCGTCCCTCAAAGGCAGGTCCTCTTTCCCAGTCCTCGACCTCTCATTCTAACATCCCCATCTAGGCGTTATCCCCAGAGCCGCCCACCACCTCTTCTCCAGCCTCAATGGCGGCGTCCCAGCTCACAGTAGACAACACTCTGGGCTGAAATCGCCCACGAGGTACTCCGTCACAAGCCTGAATCAGGTCATGCAGAACTCAAAAACATACTCAGAAAAGGGATGGGAGATGTCTGTAACCTATGTCGAGATCTACAACGAACAGCCACGCGACTTGCTGCTCCCAGACGATGCTAGTCTTTCCGAGCGAGCAAATGTCCAAATTCGTGAGGACCCCAAGGGCCGCATCTTTGTCGAAGGCCTAAACTCAGTACGCATCACTTCGATCGAAGAACTAATGCGTACTCTCAATCATGGGTCGACCATTCGTCAAACTGATGCTACTGCCATCAACGCTCGATCGTCTCGGTCTCACGCCGTCTTCACGATCAACCTTCGCCAGACACGAGCCCACGGCTTCAACTGCAACAAGCGCTCTTCTGTCCACGTGGACCATATCTCCCCAGGAGATGCTCCCATGACTGTGGAGAGTAAACTTCATTTCGTCGATCTCGCTGGTAGTGAACGTCTGAAGAACACAGGAGCCACAGGGGATCGAGCCCGGGAGGGTATCTCCATTAATGCAGGACTCGCTAGTCTGGGCAAGGTCATCTCCCAATTGTCAACACGGACCGCGGGCACATATGTGTCGTACAGAGACTCGAAACTGACGCGCATGCTGCAAGATTCTCTCGGTGGCAATGCAATCACCTATATGATTGCCTGTGTCACCCCTGCTGAATTCCATCTCAGTGAAACCCTAAATACGGTGCAGTACGCCCAACGCGCTCGCAACATTCAGAGCAAACCAAGAATCCAACAGATTGACGACACGGGTGACAAACAAGCAGTTATTGACCGCTTACGCTCCGAGATTGCCTTTCTACGTCAACAAATCCGAAGCGCAGAAGGTGGCGACCGTCGGAGCGGCATTGTCTCAGATCGTCCTGATCGTCCAAATGAGCGAGAAAATGAGCTTCAGAATCATCTCCTTGACGTCCAAGAAGGGTATACGGCTTTAAGTCGAAGACATGCAAAACTCATCGCCCAGTTTAGCAAATTTTCGGAAACTGCTGATCAAAACAACCCCGTTGCTGAGAGTGCTGTTGATCGACTGAAAAGATCGCAAGCGAACCAGGAGATGATTGAGCAAGTGGTTATGGAATACGAAAAGACCATCCAGAGCCTCGAGGCAAATCTCTCAACCACCCGAACCTCACTCTCAAATACAGAAAGCAGTCTTCTGGAACGTGAGACTAAATGTGCTTACGTCGAGACCATGAACGCCCAACTGAATGCCCGTGTACAGAAATTGATGGAAAGAGAAACAAACACTGATCAATATCTGCATGAATTGGAAGCCAGATTGGACGACAAGAGCTCTGGAGGCGAGAAAAGCGACACTGTCATCTCTGAATTGCGCAAAGAACTCGCCAGGATTAGAGAAAGCGAAACAAATGCTGAAGACTACATCTGCACCCTCGAAGAAAGACTTGCAGAGACTGACCAGGATATGGAAATCATGCAGCGGGAGGTCGAGCGTCTAGAGCACTTGGTTGAACGCCAACGAAGTCTCGGAAAGCTCGACAACCTGCTTTATGAGCTGGATCACATTCAAGACAAGGATGGCAAAACCAAACCTTCAAACGCTTCGACTACGCCATCGACAGATGTGCAAGACCTTCAGAGCGACGAGATTCTCAAGGCTGCGGAAGAAACCCAACTTCCCGGCCACGATGACGACGATGATGATGACGACATGCTCAACTCTGAGCTAGACACAGTTGAAGACATCCTGCCTGCCGACGTGTCCCCTGAGACTGATGAGCAGGGTCTCAAGAATCTTCAGATCACAGTAGAACCTCGGGAAGCACTAACCGTCGAGCAACCTATCGAGCCTCTTCCAAGCCCTGCTCAATCAAAATTCATTACGGAGAAGTTTGAAGCCGTGAGCCAGGAGCTCTTCGAACTGCGTCTGGAGCATGAAAACACCATCAATGATTTCGATCTCCTTTCAGCCAAGTATCAACAGGCTTTGCACACCTTGGCAGAGATGCAGGAGCGCATCGACGAGGAGCGGGAGACCACATCATCTGTCCAGGATGACCGGGACAGACACACCAGTCCCCCTACCCCTTTCTCAGAGGAGGACGAGGATTGCCAGAAAGACATCGAAGACGGCCAAGACTTGCCTTCATCAAGATCGCTTTCCTCAGAATTATCCATGGCAGGGGAGTCTTCCACATCTGTCGGCACCGATATCACACCCATTTCGAAACCGACAGAGTCAGTCGAGGTCGCAACTCTCGAGATTGAACGCCTTCAGAACCTTCTTGCTGAGCACCAGCGCAACATGCAGGATGTTACCGAGCAATACATTCAGTTAAAGGCAGAGCACAAAGAGGTTTTGACGACTGTTGACGCTCTGAAGTCACAAGCGCAACGAACAAGACCAAATTCCCCGGGTACACCTGGCATGCTCAGACGTATGGCATCGCAAAGTGGGTCTGGGATTGATCGTGGCCAACGTTCTGTAACTTCATTGAGATCTCTTATGGCAGAAGAATTTGAAAGCAAGCCTGATCGCATGGAGACCGCAGAGGTACATCTTTCTGCAGCCACTACTGAGCTACAGGCCCGACTAGATCGCATTCACTCCTTGGAGGCCGAAGTAAAATCGATCAAGAAAGAAATGGAACTCAAGTCAACTATTATTTCAGGGTTGACAAGAGAAAGAACGAGTATCAAGACAGGATCGCCAGTGGATCTGAACATGGTATCTCAACTTCGCGATCAAATCATCCAGAAGGAGACTGAGCTCAAGGCGCTTCATGAGAGCTATGGTCGTCGTGAACAGGCGCTCCAGGAGGAGATCCAGAGGCTGAATCTTGAGACACCGAAACCCACACCCGTTTCACAAGACAACCAATTCCTCATCAGCTCGCTCCAAGACCAAATCGCGGAGCTGACTCTGAAACACCAAAATGCACTTCGGACGGCTGAAGATTCCGAAAAGCAGTTCGCTCTGACCAAGGCGGAACTGGATGCCGCATTGATGACAGTCAAAAGCTTGAAGGCTCAACAGGAAGCCGAAGCCGCTGCAGCGAACAATGATGATGCTTCTGAACGAGTTGCTGCCATCAAGGCTATGGAAGAAGAGAGATCCAATTATCAACAATTGATAGACGATCTCAAGTTAGAGCTCGAGAAGCAGAAGGAGACGAATACTCTTCACGCGGACAAGAACACTGAACTTCAGCAACTCCATGCTGCTCTGAGCAAAGACTTTGACTCGCAGTCGGCAACAATCAGTTCTCGCGAAGCCACCATTACTTCTCTCAAGTCTGAAATCTCCACTCTTGAGCAGAAGGTTGCGGAAGCAACGACGGCAGCAGAGTCGCAAAAGAAGAGCTTACAGAAGCTTCATGACGCCCACGCCGCTCAGATTGAGGAGCTCAAGCTTGCGCATGGTGGACACCTCGCGGGTTATGATGATCAAATCACCGAGATGACCAACAAACATGATAGATTGGTGTCGAAGTACAAGGTTGACCTGGAGCATGCCTTGTCGACGGTTGAGAAACTAGTGGCCAATTGTCAACATGCGCTCGGTCACCCCACCAGTGCTGATATGCTGTCCAGCCATGTTAGAGACGTGGTGGATGAGAAGGCACACATCGCAGCAGCGAATGCTCGTTTGGTTCAAACTAATGCAGAATTGGAGCGACAACTCGATGGGCGACACAGCCTTTTGGAGCTTGAGGAAGAACTTGCCAAAGCTAACCACCGAATCGCAAATTACCAAGAAACAATCAAGAAGCTGGCGAATGAAGTGGGCAATTACGAGGAAGGCCAACGTGAGCGAGATCTCGTGATTCAGAATCTTGAATCAAGCCTGGAAGCTGTCGAGGCCGAGAAGACGAAAAAGATCGTCCTAATTGAAGAACTGGAACAACAGCTTCAGACCAGCTATGATCAACATCACAATCGTGTTTCTGTTATTCAAGCCCAGGGCAATCAGGCACTCCTCGATGCACAACAACGAATCATGACACTAGAAAAGGAGCTAGAACAGCTCAAAGCTTCAAACGAGGCTGGCTCTGACGGTGGTTCTCGAACCAATACCATGAAGTCGCAACGACCACAATCACCACCAGTCGACGGTGGTGCGCCCCGATCGAACTCGATGACATCGAATCTACGCAAGTCGGCCTCGATTGCATCATTACCTTCACCTCCACCAGCAATTCCTCTTCCGCCTCTACCCACACTTTCCAGTTTACAGGTTGCTCAAGCCAATATGAACAACCCATCTCCTCCTCAATCACGACACGCTTCCAAAGAGGTTGCACTACCTATCACACCAGTTTCTGGCACTGTGGTGTCTTCCAACTCTCAGAATGTTCGCCGTCAATCGGCGTTGATCGAAGAACAGGAAGCTCGTCTCCGCACCATCGAAAAGCATCTCCATGCCGAGAAATCCTTGACGGCCACGCTCGAAGAGGCTCTTGTCGACCTCGAGACACAGAGCAACAAACTTCGAGTCGATGCCGAACAATGGAAGAAGAAGGCATGGGCAATGGAAGAAGAATTGGTGGGTTTGAAAAAGGAACGACGCACCGAGAGACTGAGCATACAGGCTGTTGAGGAAGAAGTCAAGAAGCGAAGAGAGGCCGAGGCAGCCAGAGCACAGCTCGAAGAGAGAATGAAGCTCTTGACCGTGGGACGCGACGGGAAGAAGAAAAAGAAGGGAACATCACTCAACTGTTTCTAGTAAACAGTCGTCAAAGAGTGTTTCATGATACCTCCATCTCCTCCTCCCTTCCTCGATGAGAGATGACAGGAGAAACGCCCATGGGAGGCCCCTTCTTTTTGCTGCCTGCTATTTTACAGCAGCTGGTGGTGGTCCCATGTCATGAGGCTGAGAATTTCTCCTACGTACGGATTGGACGGCATTGACGATTTCATATGTGTGTGCGAGTGTGTGTGTCTGGATATGTGTGTGTCTTGGGTGTTTTCATTTTCTCACTCTCTCTCTCTCATACACAAACCACTCCTCCGGGTCATTGATTTCTCATGTTTTGTTTTTTGCTTTTGCCTTTTTGATTTTATCGAAGAAATCATACCCTCACCTTACCCATCTACCTACCTATCTACCTACCTACCCATCCACCAGCGAGGGCGGAGGGCGGAATGAGCATGAACGTCTCTAATGTCTCTAGAATTATTATTTTGTTTCGAGACGAGCACGACAGTTTTGTTAACTTGTCGTTGTTGTTATTGGTGTTGTTGTTTTCTTGACGGTTGATGGTTGTCTTGTTGATCTACTTTTTTGCCTGGTAGGGCAAGGCTGGTTGGTGATGGTGATGGTGCTGGTGATGGTGATGGTGCTGGTGCTGGTGCTGGTGCTGGTGCTGGTGCTGGTGCTGGTGCTGGTGCTGGTGCTGGTGCTGGTGTGGCAGACGTCTCACTTGCTTAGGTGATGGTAGTGAAAAAAGAAAGAGCACACAAAGTTACCCTACCCCCTTACCTACCTACCTGTACTTAGATACCAACCTTCCTAAGTACCTACCTACCTACCTAGTCAGCTAGTCAGCTAGTCAGCTAGTCAGCTAGTTTAGAAGCATGATAAGAAGAAAACTGCTACAAGTCTCTCGCGGGGCAATAAAGTACAAACAAACTTGATACTTGATACACATTATTATCATTGAATAAAGTATTGGCTCGTTCATGATAGTCAGACTTGTCTGGGTTTGTTTTCGTGATCCGTGATATAAATACTACCTTATATGGATGGTGTTGTAGGGACAATATATGTATACGGTTGAGGTAGTGGAGGAGGCGGGAGAATTGATTATTTATTTGATTATTTGTTTAATTAATAGTTTAACAGTTCTATTCCCCAGTTCTTGACCCACACAGTAGATGTTGAGAAATCAGTGCCATAACTGACAAAACATCAGTATCATCTCGACCGCAGCACCCAACCATGAAAAAACACCCTGGTGCATGCATGGAAAGCGGTCCCTTCTGTACCTACCTAAGTAGTCTGTAAAAGTCGATGTTCGGGCGTGCTCCCCCATCCTGGGCCAGGGATGAATCACAGTTCGGGGTTGATTTCATGTATATATATATATCGTTAATGGGATGGATAAAGTATATTGAGTAGAACCAAGGTGCACATCGACCTTCGCCTTTGTCAATGTCGTGCCGTTTCTTGTCTTGTCTTGAGAGTCCGTAGTCATTCAATTGGTTCTGTCTCGATTTCTACTTCTTGGTTCAACGTCGACTTCAGAACGAACTCTGCTAGTCTCTGTTGATTAGACCAGCCAGGCCTTCCTCTCATGACACTCGTATTTCAAAATCTCTATTGGGCGGGCTGTGACATGAGGTCAATTCATCACCCATGGCCCAAATTCCAAGGATTGGTGTCAGATTAGGCCGACACATTCACACCCACGCTCACACACACGCCTGTGGGTCATAGTGCAAAACAAATCTTTCGCGCGCAGGTTGGGTATCATAACATGTTGAATATCGTCACGACGGAGCCCATCCCGCACCCCTTTTGATATGGTGTTGAAAACCCCCAGATATCCCCGGAGCACTTTTATTTCATTGCATTTCGTGTTGAAAAGCCAGATATCCCGCCGGATGAACTTTAGAAACCCAGTCTAATTCCTCAAGTTTGTTGAAGCAAGAAGTAATCAAACAGGTGCCTTCGTCATCTGCCGGAACATGTCTATTCTCGTCTCATATGTCCTAATCATGTTCTCCAAACGCCGGTCGTGGTTGATGCAAATCCACGTTTGGAAACACGGATGAAGATACTGATGATAAAATTGGTGGAAAAGAAAACAACCTAGAACTTCAAGGTCTTGGGTTGTTCCCAGGGGAAGCTTTGGTCGGAGAAATGGCCGTTCTTGGCGGTACGGCAGTAGATGGGGTTGGTCAAGTTGAGCTCCTTGACAATGACACCAGGTCGAAGGTCAAAGTTGGCATGGATAATTTCGACGAGCTCAGCGCTGGTCTTGTCGCTTGTTCCATATGTTTCGACGAATAGAGACAGAGGTTCTGCGACACCAATGGCATATGACAATTGGACGAGGGCACGGCGGGCGAGGCCAGCTTTGACCAGAGATTTTGCGATCCATCGTGCCAAATAGGCGGCAGATCGATCGACTTTGCTGTAGTCCTTTCCGGAGAAGGCACCACCACCGTGGGCGCCCCAGCCGCCATAGGTATCGACAATGATCTTTCGGCCTGTGAGGCCGGCATCACCTTGAGGACCACCAATGATGAACAGACCAGAAGGTTGAATATGATAGACAGTGCGGTCATCAAGATACTTGGCAGGAATAACCTTCTTGATGATCTTCTCCTTGATTTCCTTTCGGAGTTCTTCGGTGGTGATATCTTCAGAGTGCTGGGCAGAGACAACAACGGTATCAACACGGATGGGCACGACGGCACCACCATCGTGGGCGTACTCAACCGTAACTTGAGTCTTGGTATCGGGTCGCAGCCAGGCCAAGGTGCCATTGTTGCGAGCCTCTTTCAGAGCGGCGTTGAGTTTATGGGCCAGTTGGATGGTAAGAGGGAGAAGTTCGGGAGTCTCGTCAGTGGCATAGCCGAACATGATACCCTGATCACCGGCACCAAGCTTTTCCAAAGCCTCCTCGTAGTGAAGACCTTGAGCAATATCTGGAGACTGCTCCTCGATGGCGACGAGAACGTTGCAAGTCTTGTAATCGAAACCCTTGTCGGAGTGGTCGTATCCAATGTCCTTGATGGTTTGACGAATGATCTTCTGATAGTCGAGGCGTGCCTTGGTGGTGATTTCACCAAAGACCATGATCATACCTAGAGGAAGCGTATGTTAGCGGGGTGCAGTGCGTGATGAAGAGCGAGTGGTAGCACACCTGTCTTGGTTGCAGTTTCACAAGCAACCTTGGAGAGGGGATCCTCCTTGAGGCAGGCATCGAGGATGGCATCGGAGACTTGATCACTAAGGTCGCAGTTAGAGGAATGTCTGAAGAAAAGAGCCTTTGAAATTGAGCCTTACGCGATCTTGTCAGGGTGACCCTCACCGACAGATTCGGAGGTGAAAAGAAAGGTATCGCTTTTAGCGACACCATTGACAGCGGAGCCAGTCATCTTTGTAGAGGGTTTCTAAAGAATACGCAAGATGATTAGACAAAGTCGCCACGTTATAGTGAAGGAATAGTGAGGAAAGTGTCAGGATGGATGGGTTGGCCGAACAAATGTTTGTACAAGCCTAGTTCGCAGATTGGATTGAGGGCGGGGTGGGTTCGAGGATGTCAAGATGGATCGTACCTGGAGAGTCTGAAGGAAGAGGCGAAGAGCGGCAAATTAAAAAAAGCCAACAGCAATACCGAGTGTATATATGAGAGGGGGGTGGTTAGAGACGAGAACAAGAGATGGAGAGAGTGAAAATGTAAAAGAACCAGAAGCTCGTATGGAAGATTGATGCGGGCGGGCGTTTTTTTGGCAAAGGGGAAAAAAAATCGGAGGATGAGGAGAAGGAAAGACCGAGTGTTGATGTCGTTATCTGCACCAGGGAAGGAATCAACGAATAAGGTGGGCGGGGGAAGTTGGGTGGGCGAACAAGGGTTGAGGCGTTAGTAGAGCGTCGGTTGAGGGGCTCTCGGGCTACACTGGCAGGCTGGGGCACTGCTAGCCCCTCTCAAACTTCATGCCGAGGGGGGCCCTCGGGCATGTCTTGCCCCAGGTTGCTAGGCACTACACGGCACCTGGCAATAGAGACATGGCCTACGTAGAAACTAGCTACGAATGGGGCTGTAGGGGCGGGGCTTCAAGTATGGCCATGCCTAATAACTTCTGCCTAGAGGTAGTACGGAGTGTATGACTGGTGGCCGGACCTGTCCCATTGCCCATTCATCTAAAAAGGTCATGCCTCTCCTCTAGAACATCCTCTACGTTTGTTCTGTGCAAGGACAAGCGGAAGGTGTAGGATCCAAGAGTCCACCATGGCATCAAGACACGGTCTCTCTCCATGATCTGCCGTGCCGATTTCATCAGAGTATGACAAGACAATCACTGGACACCGACACAATTGGAGCCAGAGAATGAGAAGGTGGATGAATGGACGAATGACAAGCCGTGGTGGTGCCATGCCGGAATCCACGCTTCCATTGACTCGTGCTATTGTGCCACCACCTAATCCCGGATGCCCATCACATTGTCGGTGAGCTAGCTGGGTATCAAGTCCCGTGATGGAATGAGGCAAGTCTAGAGTGGTTGCAAGCCTGAAGCAGTAATCTTCATTGAGCATTTACTCACATATGCCTCAAACTCGGACAAGGGAGCCCCCAATGAAGAGAGATGTAAGAATGGCGCAATTCTGGTAAGAAGGTGGACGGAAAATACCCCTCTGTCAGGTGGGAACGAAAAGCATACTCCGTAGGAAGTTTGCAAGGCGGTCAAACATGGCAGATTCTCTGCCATGCCCATGCGGAGAAGTTTGCCGCTCCTTCCAGGCACAGAGTGCAACAGGTACGTAATAATTACTCCTCACGTGAAGGAAACGTAAAAGCGCAGGCACGTTGGGTCTGGGAAACTTTTTTCCGTCATCAAAGCCTTGAACAAGTCAGCCACCACACACCTTGTCAACAATCCTCAATCCTGTGCACCCATAATGTCCAAGTTTGGGTGTCTGGTAATGGGGCCTGCGGGCGCGGGCAAGACGACATTCTGCACCGCCCTGATCCAACACCTTCAACACAGTCGACGGTCATGTTTCTACGTCAACCTCGACCCCGCAGCCAGCGACTTTGCCTACACACCGGATCTTGATATCCGCGACCTCATTACCCTCGAAGATGTCATGGAGGAAATGTCACTGGGACCGAACGGAGGCTTGATCTACTGTTTTGAGTTCTTATTACAAAACCTGGACTTTCTTGCTCAAGCCATCGATCCTCTATCCGAAGAATACCTCATCTTGTTTGATCTGCCTGGCCAGATTGAACTATACACACATATCCCACTATTGCCCGAACTGGTTCGCTACCTGTCAAGAATGGGACCTTTGAATATAAACCTATGCGCGGCATACTTGCTGGAAGCGACATTTGTGGTCGACAAAGCCAAATTCTTCGCTGGTACACTGTCCGCCATGAGCGCCATGATCCTCATCGAACTTCCCCACGTCAATATTCTCACTAAAATGGATCTGGTCAAGGGACAAGTTGGGAAGAAAGAGATGAAGAGATTTGTGGATCCAGATGCCAATCTTTTGGATGACGAGGATACGGGTCGAGGCACGGCGGAACATACCGTGGATTTAAAGAGTCCAGGAGACGTGGACCAGGTCTTGTCAGGAGGTTCTTTCAAGCAGTTGAACCGTGCGGTGGCTAGACTGATTGATGATTTCAGTATGGTGTCCTTCCTGCAGTTGGATGTCAATGACGAAGAGAACGTGGGAGATATCTTGAGTTATATCGATGATGCCATTCAATACCACGAGGCGCAGGAGCCAAAGGATCCGAAAGAACTCGAGATGGAGGAACCTGCATGGCAAGATGGTTGAGCGGAGGTGTACCTGTTGTCCTATCCTGTCCTGGTCTGTCATGATATCCTTGAGCGAAGGCGTTGGCGGCGAAATCAAGACTTCACGTGGCATTATATTTTCAAACAATCTGGGCAACTCCGAGACCTTGCGATCCCAAGATGAAAATAGAATTTGATCTCTAATTCAATCGAATCGAGAAACCCATAGACTTTCCCTTGTGATCCCGTCATCAAGAGTACCTGATTTCCTCAAGTCCACGACCCACCACCACTGCCACGTCGTTTCCTCTCCCCAGTTCCCAACGGCACCTGCTGTCTCCCCCCTTGAGTCCACCCACCACCATTTCCAGCACCAAATCCGAGGCCACCAGCACCATTTCCACCAAACCTATTAACCACATTCTCCCATGTCCCGGCGGTATCATTCCCTAATACCTCCTCCCCGGCCTTCCACGCCATCCTCGCCAACCACACACCATCATCATATGCCTTCTGCACGCCCACACGATTAACATACAACGCAACATTAACCAGCACCAATAAAATCGCAATCTTGACAAAAAACATTATCCACGCCATAACGCTACGACGTAGATAATCGGCCACTCTTAGTGTGAAGTATAGGACCACAGCGGTCATGATCAAGGAGCTGAAGTCGCCGGAGAGGGTCGATGAGAGGAGGGATGAGAGCATAGGTGTGGATCGGTCGATTATGGTTTGGACTGTGGGTGGGAGATGCGGGTGGATGTATATGTTGTAGAGGGTGGTGAGGTGGGAGATGAATGGGGGGAGAGAGGAGGGGGAGGTGGTGGTAGGTTGGGGGGCCATCGTTTAGGTTGGTCGTTGTTGGTGGGAGAGGGGGATGGGGGAGATGAGGGAGGGAGGAAGAGAGGGAAGGTTGGTCGAGTGCTTCTCCTCGCTGGTTATGTAGTCGCGGTTGTTATCGTATTTGTGCTCGTGGAGGGATCGATGTGATGTATCCCTTATGTATGTAGGTAGGGGGATTATGATGATTGAGGATTGAGGAAATGACGACGCTGTACGTTCTAGACTGGCCAGACCTTGTCGATGTTGTCGCTGTGGGGTTGACTGCGTCGGGATGGCAGATGGATGGTATGGGACCTTCGTACCGCGATCTTTCTATTCGTACTCTGAAGAGGCGGTTGATTGATGTATGAGTGTGGGGATCAAATGATGAGCGGGGAGTCTGGAGACTTGAATGGACTGGACAATGAGTATCGACATACGGAGTACAAGAAGTCGCTGACATAAGCCGTGAACGCGCTAGTGATTTTAGTGGACGGTAGGCTTCACTTGTATCATTATGGTTGAGGTACTATAGAGGAAGTATGCATAGGTACTTACTTTACTACACTGGAGTCTCTTGATCAAGTCCAAGTCATGCCATTCAAGTGGCTGTTCCCAAGGAATTCTTCCGCCAGGGTATATATCTTGACTACCTAGTAGTCCTCTACCTCTATTACTAGACACCTGTTTAATATATATCTTCCTCCACGTGTCTCTCCATGGTCAAGTCAATATGCCAATATGTCACAATGTCCAACTTCAAGAGCGCCTTCTCCAACCTCATCTCAGTGCCTGTGCTGTACAAATGCGGTCCGTATGACCGCAATTTTGGCCTCATCAGAGCTCTCTCTCAGCTCTTAGACCATGCATGCTGCGACCAATCACATGCTATACGTTTGCATGCCAGATGACGGCGTCATCAAAATCAAATGGGTATCGAACAACAAATTTTCGACTCTCGTCGGCCCCTGAGATATGCCATTTGACCAATGGTCCGCTAATAGTCCGAGTCGTACGAATAATCATAATCAATCAAATTCTGAACCTTTTCTCTTTCGGCAATGATTTCGGCCTCGAGTCGTCGAGTTTGTCGAAGTGCCTCGTCCCTGTTGTATGTTAGCATCCCATCATTCTGTGTCGGCGTTTCACACAAATCGACTGACCTTTCGGACTCAAGCTCAGCCACACCAATTTGTGCGGTGTTCATCCTTCCTACTACTTCTTTCATTTCTTTCTCGGCGTCAGCCAACGCCTTCTCCAGATCCACAACCTTGCGTTCGAGATATTCGGTTTTTAATGCTTGTTGCAGATTCAGGCCTGGTCCACTGGTTGTCTGATCAAGTCGAGGGCTGCGCTTGCTGCTGGCGAACATGGGTGATAGTGGGGTCCGCGGCAGGTTCGGTGTCAACATGCCAGAGGTCTTTCTTCCAGAGGCGCTGCGCATCAACTGAACGTTGTGGCTTGCCCTCAAAACGCGAACCTCTTCCTCATGCTTCATCACAGCCGTCTCTGACTGCATCTGAGCGACGTTAATGACATCTTCCAGTTTGCGGAGCTTGATCTGGAGTTCATTGATTTGACCTGCCGATGCAGCCTGGTTGGCCTCACCGCTGGAGATGGCTTGCTTCAGGCGTCCTCGGAGCTCTGCATTGGCTGTCATTTGTCGTCGAACTTGAGCCGCAAGTTCTTCAGACCGTTGCGCAGATCTTTCCAATTCACCAGCGAACTCTTCTTCTTTGTGCAAGGATCCTAGCGACTCATGTTGGCGGGCTTGTTCTCGTTGCAGCTGCAAATCTTTGAGGGCTTTCTCAAGGGTCGACGAGAGAACCTCGGGTGCGCTCTCGTCACGCGTCTGAAGTAGCTTTTCAAGGCTGGATGTCTCTTGTTTACTCCGATCGAGGTCCATCTTCAAACCAGCTAGGCCCTTTTCACATTGCCATTTCTGTTCGAGGGCGTCGTCGGTCCTCTTACGTAGCAGGTTGATCTCTGAGCGAAGAGTGCGAACTTCACGTTCGTAGCCTCCTTTGCCCTCATGTCTCGATGACTTGGCACGGTCAAGCTCCGCTTCCGTAATTCGAATCTTCTTCTCGTATTGTTTTCGTTGATGCTCTTGTCTTCTCAAGAGATACCTGACTGTCATATGCAAGGCATCACGTTGCTGAGTCATGTCCTTGAGCTGATCTGCCGTCGGTTGTTGGGAATCTGGGATTGCACGGTTGACAATCGAGTTCGATCTCGACAACGAGGCGCGATTACCGGCTCCTCTCGTGTTGCCCTTTCCAATATGGATGGTGCTCGACCGTTGTAGAGTCCCGGCGCGTGACTGACCTCGACCCATGTCGTCTTCTTCGGAAATAGACTGGAACTGCATGTTCATTGCTCGGGCGCTGTGCAGAGCGGCATTCTCGTCTCGCAGGCTCTGAAGTTCTTGTTGTAGGCGCGAGAGCTCATATGGAGACTTTTGGAAATCACCAAGATTCTGCTCGAGCCCTTCGATCTGTAGACGCAACTGTGGCACAACTTCATCACGTAAGTTGTCACGCTCATTTCGATGCTGTTCCAGGTCAACCCGAAGTGCGGTGAGGAGATCTTCAAAGTTTTCCTTGGTCTGTCTTTCTTCAAGTAAGCGTCTCCTCGCGTCCTCTAACGACGTTTCCAACTCTTTTGCCCGAGACGAGTTGTCGATTGATTCATTCTGATTCCGACGGTCTTGAGAGAGCCTCTGTTCCAGGATCTGGACGTGAGCCTCCAAGGCTTGCCGGCTTGATCGTTCTGTCTGCCATTTTTGGGACATTTCGACTTTTAGTTGTGCTCTGAGCTGCTCCGACTCCCTCTTCACCCTTGCCACCTCCTCTTTAGGGTCGTCATTCATTTGAGGGCGGATAGAGCTTGTGCCCGAATCTGAGAAGTAATCACTGGTGCGATCTGCCTCTCGATGAAAACCTGGTCCTTCTGTCTGAAGTCTCTCAGCAAGGTCTTCTAAATCCATCTCGCGCTTAATGGAATTTGCCAACTCGGTGCTGATCTCGCGGAGCTCAGCTTCCAGCTGGAGGCATCTCTGTGCCGAGTCACTGTGATACGAACCTCGAGGGCGTGAGCTGCCATCGAAGTCGATCGAGTCTTGAGATGACTGTGATTGGGGTTGTCTGCCCCCTCCGTTACCGTAGACAGAACCCCCGGAGAAGTGGGTCGAAGCATGTGGTGAGCCAGCGTAAGGTGAAGGAAGAGGTGATCTTCTATCTGATATGTCTGTGACAGCTGATTCAGAGCTAGGTGAAGCAATTGGTTTCCTGGAGAAGAAGGATGTGAACTTGCTCCCTGGTGTTGTTGGCTTTTTCCCGTCCACAACGGTCAGTGACCTGTTGGAGGAAGACGAGTCGGTCCGCAGAGGCGGAGGCCTCGAGGCAGACTTCGAGGCCATTTCCTCTTCCACGATGACTTGGCCTAAGGGGATGCCATTGGGCGTTTGTGTTGGATGTTGGCCCGCAGGTGAGTGTTGTATCCGTGGGATGGTGGTTCCCGATAGTGAGCCGTTGGTATAGGTACGGGTTAAAGGACTGTCGTCGTAGTCTTTCGGTGGTAGATCAGGAGAGGAGGAATGCACTGGACTAGACATGGCGGGTCAGCAACAAGAAGATGGGTTATACATAATGAGAAAGGAGTGGAGCTTACAGTGAACGATCAACACCTCCAAGAGGAGCCGCAAATGAAGGTTCGGTCGACGACGATGTCTGTAATGGTGAAGATGTCGAGCTGGGAGGAGGTTGAAGTGTCGGCGTGGACTGAGAAGGGAGAGGTTTTCTGCGAACGGGAGCAGAGGAGAAAGGCTTCAGGGCCGCGGAGAGGGAAGGAAGACGTTGAAGAGAAGGTTGGTGCTGTGGTAACGAAGATGGTGGAGGAGAGGAGGACAGGCTCCCTGAAGAATGAGCATGACCGTCCATGCTCGTGGCGGAGAAATGCTCTGTCTGCACGGGGGAATGGTATGGAGTGAAGCGAGGGCTGATAGCGATGACGGACTGCGCCGAGTCAAGGGTCAGGGAGTCCTTTCTGGATCGAGGATTGACGCTTTGACACCCATCTAGAATGATACAGTCGCAACCTCAGATTAGCCACATGCGAATGGGCTTTGGCTGCTGGCGTATGGAATGGTAGGGTGGTGGAGAGAAAGAGTCTTGAGGATGGAATGCCATTGCATTGTCTCGCGCTGCAGTTGGACAGGAGCAATCGCTAAGCGCGTGCTAACTTGACGCAGATCAATCAGGCCTAGCCCGGCGCTAGGCAACGCTAGCACGAGCTACGCCAACAAGCTCATTGGGTCCAACTTCTGTGCAGCAGATTAATTGGAAGGCGGCCAGCGTGGGGTCTTTGGTGCAATTCTTCTAGGCTACCTGGCTATCAACCAGCTTCAATCTCTCAAATTACTCTCATGGGACCATTGAGATGCTGCAGAGTGCCTCTCCCGCACCAGCCGACTTGACGAGATGCCCGCATGATTCGGTGTGTGAGAAAGTTAGCGAGATGATTCGCAAGCGTTGTGTCATGCTCCAGACAGGGGACGAGTGGCTGGAAACACCAAGTCCGTGCTGACAAGTCAAGAATCTTTATTCTGACGCGTTGAGAGTCACATCGCAGGTAGTCGAGGATGATTTCGAGTGCCAGGTGAGCCACATGGATCACGTTCCTTCAACTCCTTGCTTAGGAACACTGGAACAGTACTTAACCTGGGAGTTATCGCCCTTCCACACAGAGGATTAGGTCTCAAGTCTGGGCATCTTAAACATTCCGTCCAACATAATAATAGTTTCCTATCCTCACTAGTGCCCCACCGCCCCAGAGAGGAGGCCATGATCGCTCGCCACAAAATGAGTTATCTCTGCTATTCCATGAATGTTGCAAGACCCTTGTCTGGAGTATGAAGTGGTAGAGGTGACGATCTTGTCTTGTCCTGATCATACTCTTCAACGGTTCGACGTCGACAAGAAATTAGTATAGTAATAAGACAACGTATGAACATGTAGGCGGTCACAGCGGTGAACACGGTGGTTCAACGAATCTCTGTCGATTTTCCCGCCCGCCGAGACACGTCCCAAGCAACGCATGGCATGGCGGCACGCGTTTGTGACAATCAATCAGATCACATTGAAACCGTCACTACGCCAACTTTGACCATCTCTTGGGATGGGTGTGGCGTTGCTTTCAGAGAGGGAAGTGCCGTAGCTAAACTCTCAGTCACATGGGTCAGCGAACCATTCCTCCCACCCACCCAACTCCTCCAAATTGGTAATCTCAGGTAGTTTGTTCTCCGGGCCAGATAGAGCATGACGACTGAACGATGTTGAATCTTTTGAACCCCTCGATCCTGCATCTCTGGGTCAGCACAGGGTCCAAACGAGAGCATCTGCATGAAATCACCCCAGTCGTGTAACCTTTAGAGCCTCTATTTCGGTACAAAGACAAGTTCAAGTCAAGTCGTGACGATCCTGGCCTTTGCGTGCTTAGCAGGGTTTATTAGCTGCATTGCGAATGCAGGTGCGACCAACAGGGGAGTTTTCTTCATTCTTGGCAGGGGCGGCCAGTCCGTGGTGCCCGTGCCTGGTGATCCCGTGGCAGGCACGGGGCACGGCACGGTGCACCAACTACACTACTAGGGCACTGTAGCGCATATTGGACGCATATTGCTGCTATACTTATACCGCGCCCAAGGCGATTCTGACAGCTGCATCGAACACTCACGCCACCGTACCACTTCGAGCATGTCTATCCACCCCAGCTGGATCGAGTCTTTAGTGCTGCCCGTGCTCTTTAAACGATATTAATATGTATGTAAATACTTGTGCCTATGCGTTGACTGGAGATGAATTCTGCTTTGTGTATTCATCTGCGTGATATCCAGGCATAGTACGCCTTGCCCGACTAAGACAAGCCATTCGCGTCGATGTCCAGCTTGACCATTTTCAATCAATCTGATCTCGCTCTGTGTTTGTCTCGCTGGATTGAGTCTAGTCTTAAGCGCCTACAGCTCGAATGCGGATCATCATCATGGCGCTATCGTGTCCACGAGCCAAAAGCAAATGTGTCTAAATGGTCCGAATTTATCAACCGCTTTGCGTCTGATAAGTCACCAATCTTAGGCATTCTATCTATGCGCAGGCCGTGAATTCGACCACCAGTGCAGGATCCGATTGAAAAGCCCCGCCCGATTCCAAAGACAGAACCCGCGCGCAGAATCCTTCTCCCAGAGTGGCTACAGTGGCTGGCTAGGTATTTCCACCACTCATCCAGCAAAAGCAACTTGTTCCCCCATCTATCATAGTTTAATTGCTCCTTCATGGTGTCCGTTCCACGCTGATATCCTGCCGCTCACCGATCCGAGGTATATCGCAACCATTCACCGACCGCTTTGAGGCTTTCCCACCTGACATTCTCGTCGGAATCACCCATCAATTCAAGGAGTCTGGCTTTGAGACCGAGCTTCTCGAGTCTGGATCGGTACTCCGGCACTTCTTTCACAAGGTGGCCAAGATCATTGCAACCGATGGCCAAAACTTTCTTGTCGTTGTCCCACGGCTTGGCCATGATCTCAGCCAACTTTTTGGGTAGTTCGCCCTTCTTTTCTTCAAGAATCTTGCGTGCATTCTCTCTCCAGAACGTGGGGTTTCGATGTGGGGGCGACCATCGCAGGTGGCCAGAGTTGACCTCATCGGCATATTCGTCAAAGGTCGTCTGGTTCCTGGTATATTCTTCCAGTAATGCTTTCAGCGCCTCGAGGTCTTCAAGTAAGTCAGGGTCTGTCAAATGTCGCCCCGAGAGATTGGACAGCAAAGCAGGTAGTCTGGCTGTAGTGGCGGTGGGTATCAACGTCTCCTGATTTGACGAAAGCAAATTGTTCAACGTTGCAAGGAGAAGTCTGGTGGTTTTCTCCTTGGGAGAGACTCGGAGCAGTTGAATGTAAAGCGGTACAATCTCCTCGTCCCTGGTAAAAACGATTAGCCGGTCGCTCTGTTGTGTTGTTGGAATACGTACGCTTCCAAGCCTTCCCCAACCAACTCTCCTTCGAAGCTGAGTTGCCATATCACGAGCAAGCAGTGATATAGTAGCTGCAACCCCACACCACCTCCAAGTCTGGTATCGCTACTTCTGATGCTGGCATTGCCGCTCCATAATGACGAATCGTTGTCTTTCGCAGCTCCTACAGCTTTCCGGAGAATGTCGAAAAGAGGGTCAACAGTGTCACTTCTTTGTTTCCAGAACAGCTCCTTGGCCTGTTGTGTTCGGAGTAGTTGTGATGTATGTTGAACGCCAATATCTTGTAGGCCGCTGTCTTGATTTTTGACGAGCTTGGACAGGTAGGAATAAACAAGCGGGAGTGCTTTATCGTCTCGGGAGGCAGGCTTGGGAGAGGTGGTAAGGGAAATCGAGATCAGGTTAACCAGGAAGGTTGCAGCAAACAAAGGAATCGGATCCTCTGGGTTGTTGCTATGACTGAGCAGGGAAAGGAAGCCCTTATATGGATCTGGCAACTTCAGAATGGCGGTGGCCAGCTCAGGCGCATCTTTTTATTGTCAACCTGGATCAGCATTCGAGAGCATAGTTGTGAAGAAAACCAACCATTGATCAAGTCTGTAGCCAACACCAAAATGTATTGCAGAATATCGCCTCTTTTTGCAGCTTTCTCGAGCACGCTGGGTTCACTTCCACCACCCACGAGCAATGCGCTGTAACTCTGGACGTCCTTCTCAATCGTCTGCTTGCGCTGATCTTTCCTGACCTTATCGACAGATTTTATTTTCTTGAGGTGGTCTTCGGTAAGGTTTCCTGCACGGACAGCACCATCCCATGGGATCTGGAAAATATGTTAACGCAGTCCATGATAGATAAGGATATTGAGACAAACGGGTCGTGCTCTGATATTGCTCTGAAGAGAACTCAAATAGGCCGGTGGGCTGAGAGACATTATGTGTGGAGGGAGTTATAGAATTGGTGAAAACACGCTGCTAGGAACACAACTCGGGAAAATCGTTCAATGGCAGCGAGCCATATAAGTTGATGGTAAGGTTGCTCAGCTTTAGGTGAGGTTGTTGAGGATAAGAAACGATGTCATGGCTCGAGTCTATGGAGCAGCTCCAGCTGCAATAGAAGCCTTGGGTGCTAGTGCACTGAAGCTGGTGATTATTGGCTACACGGGCCCCTAAGACGCCACTACTACCAGACTAATCTGTTAAGGTGAAGCAGCTGCGATTGAACTCTAGGCGCCCCAATCATAGGTCGCAATCACGTTGCTGGCGAGCTGAGAGTTGACGAGAGCCGCCTATAACGAGCATTTCTCTGGGCCTGACCACAGGCGAGGCCTGGGAAGCCTTTCGACTTGTCATTTAGACACTGGGAAAGAAAGTTTAGTGACCTCCCTAGCACTTCTAGGTGTGCCAGTGGACGCCCATCTCACTTTATTGACGCGTGGATAGTGAGTACCGACCCATAACTGCATACTCATAATTGTAGGTCTCTAACCTTAATTTCACAAGAAATATGTCCAGTACGTAGCTTTTGAGCATCACCACATCTCCCAACGCTGCGTTACCCACCCATTCTCAACCCCAGGTCCTGTGCAACGCGACATACCCTATATTGGTGACACGAATCACTTCCTTTCGGCCAACACAGGGCAGACGTCTGCCTTGAAATGTTGCTTGTGATGCCATACCGCAGAAGACACCCTGTCCCTCTCGCGACTGCATCGTAATACACCCACCCTCGAGTCCTTTGGTGTTCGGTCTTTGTACATGTCTGCCTGTACACTATGGCCAACAAGCCCAATTCACGATGGGGATTTCTGACACAGGCTGTGGCTTCGGTCGAGTCAAGGCTAGACAATATCTTAGCAGACGAGAATGATCAGCCTCAGCCGAAGCGCACTGTCCCCTCAGCGCAGCCCTCACAAGAAGTTCTGCCCAGCAAGAGAGGTGTGTATGACTCTATTTTGACCCGCTACGCTGTCGCTAACTTGTGCAAGCCTCCGCAGACCTCTCACGAAGTAATAGCAATGCCTCAGCCGCGAATGACCGCCTACAGGAACGCCTTGCCCGGGCAATGGCGAAGAAGAATATGAACCGACCAGAGAGCCCAGCGGTGATCCCAGATCCCGAGCGATCTTCATCCTCTGGACAATCGCCACTACTTCTTAGTGCCGATATTGCGGAGGATGGACAGGAGTTCGCTTCAAAGTCCGAGACATTGGAAGGGGCATCCCGTTTATCGGTCGAAAGCAAAGCCCCGACAGACACTGAAGCTCCTGTTCCGTCTGACGTCGTCACATCCGCGGGGACCGAAGAAGCGGAAGCGGTTGATTCAGTGCCTGAGGTAAAGGTGGTAGCGCCAGCAGAACCCGAGTCACCTGCTTCTGTTACACACGCAATCCCAAACGACTCAACTGCTGTGTCTGCCAGGATCTCGGTTGATAGAATATCGAGCGACACGCAGAGAATGAGCGAGGATATCTCAATAAGATCATCCTTGGAAGATTCTGGGACTATAGTCAAACTCCAGGAAGAGATCAAAGGTTATATCGAGCGAATCGATGCACTCCAATCCAAGCTACAATACCTCAGCAAAGAGGCAGCGGCGTCTGCAAAGCAGGCTGCCGCCGCTGCTTCTGCAGGGAGCATGGAGAGAAAACTTCTCGAGAAGGACGAAAAGATTGCTTTGTTGATGCAAGAAGGCCAGAAACTGTCCAAAGCTGAAATGACACACCTGACTACGATCAAGAAGATCCGGGCTCAGGCCATTTCCAACAATAAAGAGCACGAAAATACCAAACTTCGTGCAGACAAGGCGGAAAGAGCATTACGCGCCATGGAGGATCGCGCTAAAAGGGCGGAATCCATGAGTAAACGAGCAGAGCAGAACCTCGCTTCGAGTCTAAGCAGTGCAAACGACCTCGAGGCAATTCGCAAAGAACGAGACGCATTACAGTTGACAGTTTCAGACATCAAAGCACAGCTATCGAAAGCCAACTCTAGAGCAGACTTGGCAGAAAATAAAGCGCAGTCAGATCTCTTGGAAAAGGAACGCAGGAGGGCTGCAGAATTACAGGACGACCTGACGAGTGCTAAAGTTGAGCGCGAGATCAAGGAAGAGAAGCTCTTGAGGGAGATCAGTGACCTGAAAGCTGCACTGGATCGGGAGAAGGAGCAAGCTCGCGCAATGGAAAGCGAGATGTTGAACGAGCAAGCAACACTCGAGAGCCGACTGGAATCGTTTCGTGTCAGGGCCGAGGAGGCAACATCACTGGATCATGGAAACGTTCAAGCCAAGTTGCTTCGGCAGATTGAAACGCTACAGAGCCAATACGCGAATGCAAGCCAGAATTGGCAAGGCATTGAGACCAACATGCTGGGCCGGATCACAAGTCTAGAGAGAGAACGTGATGAAGCGGTAAGCAGAGAAACAGACCTTCGCAAGAAGCTTCGAGATGCCACACTCAAAACGAAGGGGGTCGAGAGAGAGCTCGAGAGCATGCAGACCAGTTATGCAGAATTGGATCGCACCGTCGCTGAGTCGGAAACGGAAATCCAGCGTCTGACCCGCAAAGCAGCTCAACTCGAGACGGACCTAGCCAACGCGCAAAAGGACTTTGAAGAACAAAAGACCAGTGCCGAACGAGAATTTCAGCGGAAGTTTGAGGACGAGAAAGCAAAATGGACGGCAGCGTTGCATGTCCAGAGGAATGAATCCCCAGGGACATCGATTCGAAAGCAAAGCCCAGGCTCAGGCTTCGATCTAAATCATCTAATGAGTCCTGTTGCTTATGAACGAGGCTCCGTCCGGAGGTCGTTCACCATGCAAGGCTTCGATTCCAACACCCCTCCCCGTCAACAATCAACCACGTCTTTCAAGGGCCTCAGCAATGGCTCCGCAGTCGAGACGCCTTCAGCGTTAACCTCAATGGACCCCGACGAATACTTTGTCAACGTGCCACCTACTCCCATCTCTCCCAGCCATCAATCAAACCGAGGTATGCATGACCTGGTATCTAACTCGACCGTTGGAGCAGGACCTTCGGTTCAACTTGTGGAGCGAATGTCTGCCAATGTTCGTCGGTTGGAAAGTGAGAAAGCCGCTTCCAAAGACGAACTGAGTCGAATCACCGGACAGCGCGACGAAGCTCGACAAGAGGTTGTCAATTTAATGCGTGAGGTGGAAGAGAAAAGGTCGATCGAGGCTCGCCTGAAAGCCCTGGAGGCTGCGCACCAAGAATTGACCGAGAGGCACAAAACCACTCTTGAGATCCTCGGCGAGAAAAGCGAGCAAGTGGAGGAGCTCAAGGCAGATGTTGTGGATGTGAAGCAAATGTATCGACAATTGGCGGACACAATGAAATGATATTGTGCCTGTGGCCGGTTAGCTTTAGGAATGCCGATCCGGATCTCAATTTGATGTATCTCCAGAGTAAGCCGTAGCCGTCGCCGTCTGGCAAGCATCTCGTCATAGCGCAGATGAATCTAAAGCCAGTGTCACTGAAAGTTAAGCCCCTCTCTCTCAGCAGCCTGGACAATGAATGCTCGGACTTTGTTGTCGGGTGCACATTCAATGGCAAGTCTGCCATCGACATCCTTCTTGTCTATTTCCGCACCAGCCTTGAGGAGTTCCACAGCAACGTCTCCATTGCCTTCGCTAATGGCATGATGCAGAGCCGTCATCCCATCGGCATCGGTAGCACTGACTGGACTTTTATGTTCGATCAGCAACTTCACGATAGGCACGCTACCTACCGCAGCCGCACGGTGAAGAGGCAACTGGCCACGCTTGTCCTTGACCCGTGCGCTAGCTCCATGTTTTAACAGTGTCTTGCAGATTTCGAGGTTACCCTTTGAAACTGCAAAATGCAGCGCCGTTGCACCGGTGCCAGTGGCGATCTTGGGGTCGGCTTCTTTGGACAGGAGAAGATCAATTATGGCTTCGCCAGCGTTGTCTTTGAGAGACGCGGCGATGGCGAGAGGGGTCCAGCCAGATCCATCTTGAACATCTGCATCGAAGGATCTGAGTGCGGTCAGGAGACGGACGGTCTCTATGTGGTTAAAGGCGCAGGCCCAGTGAATTGGTAGACGGTCGTCGTCGTCGGTTTGGGTTGCGAGTTTCGGATTTGCATTGAGAAGTGATTCGACGATCTGGGCTGATGGAGTGGTCCCGTTAGTCTTGAATTTAGGGTAATGGGTGGGGTGAGGAGAGATATACTTCTTCCATCTCGTGCCGCTTCGTGCAAAGCGAACTTGTGCTCCGGTTCCGTTATATCGAGCATCGTGTACGGCTCAAGTGCAGGCAGGTCTTGTATAGCAACTGGTGGAGACGGTTCTTTGCGTCTTGTTCAATGGTGGTCAAGAAAGACGTTGGAGTGGGATCCCCGCAGGTAGGATTCAAGGATGAGTCAGTTGGAGAAATACATTGGCGCTAGTCGAGTCATGTGATTCGACACCAGAAATTCACATCTCCAACATCTCAATCTGCATCCTGTTCACCACGCCACAACCATCATTTACTCCCTCTCTTCCTACCTCCCGCCCCCCAATACAACCGACAAGATGGCTGCCGCAGCCCAAGCGTTGACGGAGCAAACGCGATCTCTGTATGGCGCCTCCTTCGGCGAAGCCTTTACCCCCGATCTCCCTCCTATTTCGACCTCATACAAACGAAAAGCAGAATATGACAGTGTGCGCGAACTGCCCAAATTTCTGGCAGAGAGACAAGCGAAGGCCGCTGCATCGAGGGGACCCAAGCGGCCAAAAGCGCAGGCTGGTGGTGCAGCAAATCAAATGGCTTTGGTGAAGAGCAACCAAGGCCCCAACGGAGGAGAGGGCAAGACAGGCAGTGGTACGGGGACGACAGGAAACAGCTTGATTCGAAGACCAAACATGCAGCAGTCTCGACCGGAGTGGCACGCGCCATGGAAATTGATGAGAGTCATATCAGGACATCTGGGCTGGGTAAGAGCATTGGCTGTAGAGCCTGGGAATCAATGGTTTGCTTCAGGAGCAGGAGACAGGACCATAAAAATCTGGGATCTGGCGTCCGGTCAGCTTCGTTTGACACTCACCGGACATATTTCGACTGTGCGTGGTCTGGCAGTCTCGCCACGACATCCCTATCTATTCTCTTGCGGCGAGGACAAGATGGTCAAGTGTTGGGATCTCGAAACCAACAAGGTCATCAGGCATTATCATGGTCATTTGTCGGGCGTTTATACCATGTCTCTGCACCCGACGCTTGACGTCTTGGTGACCGGTGGTCGTGACGGTGTAGCCAGAGTCTGGGACATGCGCACGAGGTCGAATATTCATGTTCTATCTGGCCACAAAGGAACAGTCACGGACGTCAAGTGTCAAGAGGCGGATCCTCAGGTCATCTCGTCGAGTCTCGATAAAACAGTCCGTCTCTGGGATCTCGCAGCTGGCAAGACCATGGGCGTTCTCACTCATCACAAGAAAGGCGTGCGAGCATTGGCAGTACATCCTAAGGAATTCACATTTGCATCAGGGTCGGCTGGAACTATCAAACAATGGAAATGCCCTGAAGGCGCATTCATGCAGAATTTCGAGGGCCAGAACGCCATTATCAACACTCTGGCGGTCAACGAAGACAATGTTCTGTTCAGCGGAGGCGACAATGGCAGCATCTCATTCTGGGATTGGAAGACAGGTTATCAATTTCAGAACACCGAATCCATTGCGCAGCCTGGTTCGTTGGATGCCGAGGCTGGGATCATGAGCAGCACTTTCGACCAGACTGGCTTGCGATTGATCATGGGAGAAGCGGACAAGACTATCAAGATCTGGAGGCCAGACCCCAACGCCACGCCCGAGACGCATCCCTTGGACTGGCGGCCGACTTTGGGGCGTGTCAAGTATTGATGGTTCGAACGTAAAATACATAGCGTGGCGTTTGGTGGCACTTTTCAGTCGGCTTTTGATAACCTTCACCGGTCCTTGAGGGCTAGATGAGAATCATCATGGAAACTCAGGTGTAAGAACACAATCCCAAAAATACATTTGTGTAATACAAAATGCTTTATGGCTAGAATTGATGTCCTCGCGGGTAAGAAAATGAGAAGCACGTGGTCGTGGGGCTGGGGATAGAGCTTGAAGCAAGCCTGGGCCCCTTGTAGTTGGATAGACACGCGATACCTCATGACATACATGTCCTTGTGGAATGCGAGACATCTCTAACATGATATTTAGATCTCCTTTAAGCATACTGGAAACCACAGAACCTTTTTTTTTCTCGTCCTGTACTAGCGATGGGGGAGGAGATGGTGTTTATTATAACTCAGAATACAAGTAGTCAAAGTCTCTACGATGGGGTTTGAGACGCTGTTCACGCCAGAAGTTAACGGCAGAAGGCAGACTCTTGAGCTAGGGAATATCATGATGATGGTGTTATGGTGTTCACTGACCTCGTAATTGTAGTTGGATATTGCCAAAAGAGGGAAAGTGAGCTGATTCTCTGGCCTGCGCGTTGCTCCTTCCTTCATAAAGACCAATACGCGTTTCTTTCGATCTTGGCATGTTTTCACCGTTTGTGATTTCCGACCTCACTTGGGAATTTGAGATTAAATCATCTTCCCTCAAACTCAACCATTGTCTATCACACAACAGACATGAATCTCAGCTCATAACTTATAAGCCTCGTCGATCAAGCTCAATCCCTTGACCCGCTATCACTGGTCGCTGATCACAGCATAATTATGGCCCTGACCCGCTATTCAGGCTCCAGATCTTCTCTAGGTCCGATCTCAAGACGACGATCCTCTTGTTGTTGATGACTTCTCCAACATTCTACGGATTACTCCGTACAGTGTTCATGAATATGGGCGAATACCCTTTGCAAATCATGACCCATCTCCATCTCATGCTTATTGCTTTGACGAACCCATCTGCCTGACACCCATCGGGAGTGCCAAAAGATGTTTCCTAGATCTCTCATTGGATCTCCGCAGTCCGTGAGAGGACGTGACGTGTTTGACAGCCTGAGCTTCAACCCAGCACGGTCGTCCCTTACCCAATCTTCAACTGACCTTGCCTCTGCCATCATCTCAATTTGAGTCTTCTGCTTGACCTGCTTGTCACTGCCATATGCTTACCCTCATCGCAATTTCTCTTGACGAACTCTAACCTACCACAGACGCTTCCACGTTAGCCAAACTCACCCTCCGGACGTTTCATCAACGGCTTCAGAAATACTCTCCTTCCTCTACAATGTCGTCTCTTCTCGTTTCTTCACTTGCTTCCAGCCGGCTTCCTGCGCTGCGTCACTCCTTGCCTGTGTTCCCTTTCAGCATCTGTAAAGATGCGTCCACTCATTTCTGCGTTTCTTGCTCTGACGCCGGTTGCCTTCGCCCAATATGTCCTCGAAGATGATTATTTGGCCGGTGACTTTGCCAGTCACTGGAACTTCTTCACGGTAGGACGAGCCCTCTTTGCAGCAAATGCAAGTCTTCTTATGTCTATCTAGGACGATGATCCCACGAATGGTTATGTCGATTACGTCGACGAGGCTACAGCGGTCAGCTCAGGACTTCTATCAACTTTGGTGAACGGAAGTGTCTTCTTAGGTGTGGACAGCACCAATCCCGGAACTGGCCGCGGTCGACCGAGCGTCCGCATCGAAAGCAAGAAGAACTACAACAATGGTGGCCTGTTCATCATCGATCTCGCTCACATGCCAGGCGGCCAGTGTGGTTCATGGCCGGCCTATTGGCTGATCGGCCCAGGCGGTGCCGATACCGGTGAAGTCGACATGATAGAGGCCATCAACACCGACACCACCAACTTGATGTCAGTCAAGACGGGCCGTGAGTGTACAATCAGTCAGCAGGTCATGACGGGTACACTCGAGACTACCGACTGCAACGTCAACACTGGTGGCGTCGTCGGCTGCTCCATTGATTCCGCGAGCCCTTTTACATTTGGAGGTGGTTTCAATTCCCTCGATGGAGGCGTCTACGCAACTGAGTGGGTTGCTGAAGGAGTCACTATCTGGTACTTCCAACGTTCTGCCATCCCCGCTGACATTACTGCTGGGACACCCGACCCTTCACTCTGGGGTGTTCCCCTTGCCAAATTTCTCACCAGCTGCAACCTGAACGACAATCTCATCAATCAGCAGCTCATCATGAACATTGACTTTTGCGGCGACTACGCGGGCAACCCCTTCTACTGGGACAACGATCCCACTTGCAAGTCTCAAGCAGATACCTGTAATGATTTTGTCCAGAACAACCCCTCTGCTTTTGAGCAGACTTACTGGCTGATCAATTCACTCCAAGTCTATCAACAAGTGGCGCCCTCCACCACGACAAGCAGCTCCACGTCTATTGAACCGCCGACCTCCAGTCTGACAACCACCACGACATCTAGTCCGTTGCCCGAAACCACCACACTGACAACTACAACAAGCACCCCCCCAGAGCCGACGACGACGACGAGCCCATCCCCAGAACCAACGACGACTACAAGCCCACCTCCAGAGCCGACGACGACGACGAGCCCACCCCCAGAACCAACGACGACGACGAGCCCACCTCCAGAGCCGACGACGACTACGAGCCCACCCCCAGAACCAACGACGACGACGAG